ATTGAATGGTTGTTGTATGCCCAACAGTCAGGGAGATAGTAGAAAAAATTGTAAATTTAAAATTTCTATGTTATTCTTATGGAGAATAAATAAACTGTTGTAGTTTGCTTTTTTATTATATTTAAATCAAATTTGGCAATTTTTTTTTATTTCATACTAAGCTATCAACATTTTAACAACAAAAAAACACCTCAATATCTTCCCAGTAGCAGCAAACCTAAGTACTCACTAAAGTAATGTTATTTAAATAGGAAATAAATCTGAAAATTTTTAGGGAATATTTGATAAGGCCTCTTTTATGCACGGCGTTTTCCGTCGGGCGGAATCTATCAGAATCTATCGGGCATTCCGTCGGTGAGTGTTTTAACATGGGATCAAATGGGGCCCTTTTATGCACGACGGAATCTCCGTCGCGTTTCAGAATTCCGTCGGAGGCCGACGGAGGACTTAGACTCCGCCGAGTTTCGGCGTTTCGTCGGAGCGTGTTTTTACATAGGTTCAAATGGAACCCTTTTATGCAACTGCGTTTTCCGTCGGGCGGAATGTAGTGCTGCCAACCTACACCACGCTCTGTCATCCACAGTATTGAAATCACCTACGGTAATCATTGTAAATAGAATATCATTATTCATTGTAATTGATTGAAGAGTACAAATAAAGTGATGTAATTAGGGAAAAAATTACTGCATGAGAATTAATTACATTTTTGTTTAAATCCGCGGAATAAAACAAACTTACTGTTTCGTAGGAACTTCTCAAACTTTTCCCCATCATTTCGCAGCAACACATATAGGTTTGTGAAAGCCCCATCCACCCTACGACTTTCATTAACCGGGTGTACAGCCCATCTCCTTCGCCGTCGTCTATTTCTCTTCATGTACAAATAAGTATACACCAATACACAAGGATCCATCTTGGGTCACTGACGATGGCAAAATGAACGAAGTTGGTAGCACTGACCATCCCCACCACGGGCTTCAGCGGATTCCGCTCGGCGGAGAAACTGCATAAAAGGGACATCGATTCCGCCCGACGATTTCGCCCGACCGAAAACGCCGTGCATAAAAGAGGCCTAAGAAATCCAGCCAGGTAAATGGAAATTCACTTTTGAGCATTAATTTTACCCTAAAATTGTGAATCTTACAAGAAATCAAATGAAAAATGTAAACAAATATAGTTTATACGTGTATATGCAAGGTCGACTTTCAAAACTTTCTCAAGTTAAAACAAGTTTTATGGTTAAGGGAATACTGTAACTGTAACTTTAAATGTGAGTATGATTTTTTAAACAAATTTATATCTTGCATTTATATTTTCTAAACGTTCAAAATTTCAATGCAGTTCATTTTTGTACCTTTTTTACAGTCTTGCCAAGTAAAGATTAAGAAAATTGTTTTTGGTTTCTGGGGACCTCAGAATGGATAGTGAAAGGAACCAATGCATATTTTAACATGCATCATACAGTATTCTCATGATAGAGCTTTCTCAAGGGAACATTCTTAAATAAAAAGAAACTTCTTCATAAAAAGAAAATTCTTCATACAAGAAACTTGTAACATTGGCAATAGGCATTGAAGTAGTTTTAGCCAATTTCCCTATAGGGAAGTAGCTATAATAGCATAGGTGGCACGGTAAGACCATCGTGTCAGGAATTTCCGATTTTGAGTTTAATATATATTTGAATTCATTACAGTATTAAATTTTGAATCACTTGATGCAAGTCCCATGCATCTATGTTTTTTCTTCTTTTTTTTCGTTAAAGTTACAGGATTTTGAAATTTTGTTATGGAAAAGGGACATTTTGAGAAAAAACTAATTGAAAATTTCAAATATGCATAAAAAGTTTTTTTTTCGTATTTAAGAAATGTTTTTGGTATCAAAAGTAAGCTTATAATGTCCTCTTTGGAGGCAATACAAATTTTTGTCTCAACTCACGGTAAGGTAAATGCACCAGTAGCTGACAGTGCTCCAGAAGCTGACAGTTTGAGTTTCTTAACATTATAATGTGGACTCTTAAAAATATTTACACATGATTGCATTGTTAGAAGAACATATGTTTATTCTTAAATTGGTTTACAAACAAATCAGCGAAATTTAGCCCATACTCGCGGAATGGTGGTGGTTTGAAAGCGACCCTGTCTGTACACATCACATTTAGTCGATTCCCTTTAATGAAATTGTTAAGAAAGTAAGTTTGGTTTTTTGTCATTTCGCTAAATTTCTTAAATAGTATTAATGATTAGGCTAATTATTTTGATCAATTATACCGTTGTTGACAATTTCATGATAAAATTGGGGTGTTAGGGGTTTTGGATTTAAAATTATATCAATGTCAGGCTTTGGTACACAAAAGCCATACAAGTTCCACTAGCTGACAAGGGATATTTGCTACTTGCACAATATTAAATTGGTTTTACCCATCGAAATTTGCATGCTATTTATAATTTATGTGATCTCACATTTTTATAAAATGATTTTAATTTTTTAATTTACTGTATTAGCAAAATTATCTTAAAAAATGTATATTTTTAAAAATTTATATAAAATATATATATATTTTTTAATGTAAATATTTTTTATTTTAAAATATGTAAAATAAATTTTCTTAACAACGTTTTACATGATTTTATAATTTAATTATTAAGTTAGATTTTATTCGTCTTATAAATTATAAAACCCTTAGGTTTAGCAGCTAGTACATTTATAGTTCCAGTGTCAGCTACTGGGACAACTGACAGTCAGCTACTGGTACAAGCACTTTTTTCACTGAGAGCCACTGGAACACGTACAAAGGTTGAATTAAGTTTAAAAATGTTATGAAATATATTAAAAAAAAAACCCTTTTTGTATGACAAATTTGAAAACTACACTAAATTTAGAATCACATAAAATCCGTAATATCTCTTTAGTTCCTATCTATTCAAAACCACGGATTATTAAGTGCGTATAGTTTCTTCTACTGTCAGCTACTGGTGCGTTTACCTTAGTTTTAATTTAAATAATTGTTTATCGAAGCATGTTCCCTTATGAAAAAGTTTATATATGGCCATATAAATTTTTTTTTATCTGGTTATATTTGGTTTTGGACCAAATATAACCAGATATGATCATATATGGAAACCCCCATATATGGAAATTTTTAAATAAAAAATATATAAATAAATTAAAATTAAACATATTTTCACATTAAATGGTATAAACTATGCATTAAAACCATAGTAAAAATTTTTAATTTGAAAATTTCAAAACAAAATTATCAAGAAGCCGACTGGGATTCGAACCCAGGACTCCAGCGTGGGAGTCCGCCCCTTTAACCACTACACCACAACCGCTTCATATCAGATAACTTAACAAAATCCATTACGAATAAGAGAAGCTGTATTTGGTCTCGTAAAACAAGATTTTCTTAGACATTTTATGTCATTTGAAGAATGTTATTTTTAATATAGCCTAACTACGTGACATAGATATTTACGGCTTTTTGATAGCAAAGGTACAATTAATTAATTATTAATATAATATTCTCTTTATTTAGGCCTACTACACTTACAATTTTAAAATTATACGTCAGTTTTAAGATTTTGTTGCGTTATAATAAAATTGTACAATAGATGTATGTACAGGATTTTGTCATCTGGGTTCAAATCTGGATACTTTATTACTTTACTACTAATTACTTTAAATGAGAAATGCCTATATTATCTGCCCCCCTACTGTACCACATTTCAACTCAATCAGTTCAGTAGTTTGTGCTTGCGAGAGCAACAAGAAAATACACAAACTCACTAACTTTAAGATTTATAATATTATATATATTATAAGAAGTGTTTGGGAGTCCAGTTACAAAATCCAAATGTGACAACAATTCCTTATAATAATTCCAGTTATTGTCAAAAACTCATTTATACATGAGCATAAATGGAAAATTATTATTCCGTACATGAGTAATTTAATTCCATACCTGGAAGTCATATATGGCCATATATAGACCATGATTCCATATATGGAGGATATTTATGGCCATATATGGGCAATAATTTCATATATAGAAAACATGTATGGCCATATATGGACAATCATTTCATATATAGAAAACATGTATGGCCATATATGGCCAATAATTCCATATATAGACTACATATATGACCATATATGGACACCGCCATGGATACAACCACATCTGGCCATATCTGCTTCCATATATGGCCATAAAAAACCATATATGGCTTTATAAAAACATATATGGAATTTTGATATGGCCATATATGGCCAGAAATTACTTTTTTATAGGGGTTGTTAAAATCACATTTCAGAAAAGGGACCTCTTGTTTTCTCTCCATAACATAAAAAAGGTACCTCTTGTCAAGACATTGGCAAGAAATCTTGTTTTCCGTGAACTGAACTTTGTTGTAGTTCTCTAAATGTCCACTAGAATGCAGGACAATTCATTTTTGGGGCTAAAGTCTGTTTATAAAGTGAATATTAGAAATGGGAGAAATGGGACCTCATGTCGATATGGCGAAATAACATTGAGCGACAAGAGGTACCTTTTCTCAGACCGTGCAAAGACTAACAAAATGATTTATTTTGACCTTTTACTTCTTCCATTTGATATTTTAACCGATACTGCCCTGTTCTGTGTTAAATGAGGTATAACAATCGATAAAAACCCGAATTTCGATATTTTCAACCTTAACTAAAAATTTTGCATCGCCGACAAGAGGTCCCTTTCTGCTTTCCGCATCACATATACAGGAGTCAGATTCTAAATTAACCATGCTCTTTACTTTGAAACAAACCTTACTTTCAAATTTACTATGGGTATGTATTCAAACATTCTTTCTAAAATTACAACTACTGGTATTGAAAGTTAGTTCGTCGTCCACAATTGTCTCTATGACTACCCTCCAATATTTATTGATATAGGTTTTCCTGTTGGTTATAATATTATTGTACATCTGTATACACTACTATATATCAAGATGTGTTTTTTTTTTCAGAATCCTTGGTGTGCCTTAACTTTGTGCCAAAACCAACACAAGTCTTCTAAGAGAGGTATGATGAAGTGCAATAAGTGATTACTTACATTGACAGCAATGATCCTAATTTTGGTACATCTCCTGCTCTTCCATCTCTCTTATTCAGCAAATGATTGTTGGTGGAGCGGATGCCAACCAAACACCTGGGCTGTAACTGGTTGTGGCCAGTACAATAGGACTCAGCAAGACATCAGAGGGTGTGAAGGTGGTTCAGAATACTACTGTTGTACACTGGACACAACAACAACAACGACTCCCGCCCCTCAAACTGGTTGTTGGTGGACTGGTTGTCAACCCAACAACTGGAAAGTAACAGGTTGCGAACAATATAGTCTCGTGCAAAATAATATCCAAGACTGTGAAAATGGACACAAATATTTTTGCTGCCCTGATAGTAACCACCCAAAGCCGCCATTGCCGACAGATCTTGACACGTCTGAGTGTGTTTGGTCTCCGTGCCAGCCATCAAACTGGACCGTGAGGGGTTGTCCTCCTCGGATGATACAAATTGGCTCCCAGTCTTGCGGAGAAGGACAGGGAGACATTTTTCAGTGTTGTGAAAGCAAACAAATACCCGATGATGACGATACAAACTTAATTACAGGAGAATCTTTCCAGAATTTTGTTAAATACTTATTAATCAAAGGTAAAAATTTTACAGTAGAACCAGACAGTTTACCATGTATATCTATTGATGTAGAAAAGAAGTCCATACTAAAAATTAAAAATGAAGGAATTCGCACTTGTGACTTGTGCCCTTACTTTCCACAAAAAAGGTTTGTAAATGTTTTCTTATCGAATGAGCCTTTGGACGTTGAATCTAATTTACTCTTTCCAGAATGTTTCGGTTCTTGCTTTGACAGAGATGACTGTGTGGCATTTAGCTATGACTATTCCACTCATACTTGCTATATATTCAATAATACAGTCGGAGTTTTCACCCAGAGCTCACAATGGACAACCGTCTTTATGACACAACCAATGGGGGTTTTGGAAAACTGGTCTTATTTTCGACATACTTCCATAACAGGAGAGGGTTTCAAACAATCACGAGAACAAAACTTCAAAGAATGTTTAAAAAAATGTAACCACGATGATAAATGTAATTATGTGTCGTATTCTATAAAGACTCTTGACTGTGTTATGATTACTTCTCAAGATAAAATACAGTATATAGACATGAAATATGGATTTATCTCTGCTTTTAAAATAACATCTCTTCCATTTTCTAGGGATGCTAGTTCTAGGTTCATTGAAATTGGAGAAGAAATCTTTGGCCAAGACCAATCTTCCGATATAAAAAAGAATGAGTGCGCTTCAATAAGAAATGAAACTCATTCAGCATTTTATTCTAAATCATGTTTCACATATCCAGGAGTTGGGTGTGATTCAGTGACAGGGTGCAAAACCTGTTACTACCCTGAGAACACAAATGATTTTTATAATCTGATAATATGTCCAGACAGTAAATGGGTTGTAAATGAAAATATCAAACAATCTATTCAAAGTGATTTGATGTCATGTTTAAAAGATTCATTCTGTATTGCTCTTGGATATGACACAAGAACAAAAAACACAAAACAGTTAACTATCGAGGACCTTCCGGGTAACAATTCCCCAACAAAATTTATAATGAGATATCCAATAATACTTACAGAAAATCAGAAGCTAATAATGAACCACGATTTGTTGTCCAGCTATGATATTGAAAGGATATCAAATGATAATAACTCTTTTCATGAAATAAGTGGAAAGTCTTTCAAAGAGTGTTTTAATATTTTTGATTCAAGCAATTCTTACATAAGAATGTCTTATGCAAATAAGATGTGCAAAATTTCATCTAAAGAGGTTAAATATGTAAGGAGTGATAGATTTATCACTGTTTTCAAAAAACCAGATATAACCTCACCCATTATTAACTATGTAAGAACACCAGGCTTTTCGATAGAAGAAAATAAAGCTAAACAGAGTTTTGGCCCATGCACAAACTGTGAAATAGACTGTGCCATTAAGTGCAACAGTGAATTTAAGAGTTGGTGTTCACATTTTATGGTAAGGCACGATCACAATAAAGCAGAATGCTTCTTCTATGACTTGTTTAGTGATACAGCAGCAAATAATGTAATTCTTCAGCAAATGGATAATAAACAAATATTTACCAAAGTAAGTAACCTAGATTTTACCCTTGATTCTTTGAATAAGCTTAACCCTTTCCAAAGTTCTGACATTCTCAATTGTTTCCAGCCTGATTCTGACAATAAGCAAACAGAAACATCTTTAACACGTTTTGATATAAGCAATAGTAACAGTGACAGTGCAGTTCAGCTTAGACAAAAGAGAGGGATTGGAGATTTCTTTAAAGGAATAGGAAAAGCTCTTAAAAAGGTTGGTGAAGTTTTTGTTGACACTGTTAAAGATACAGCAAAAGCTGTCGTTGATACAGCTAAAGGAGTTGTAAATACTGTAAAAAATGTTGTTACTGGGGACTTTGATAAAGCCAAAGAATCGTTTGTTAACATACCAATTGTGAAAGATGTATCAAATGCAGTAGAACTTGGTAAAGCAGTTGTTACAGGGGATTGGGACAAAGCGAGGGAGAAAGGTTCTGAACTCTTACAAGGTCAAGCTTTAGACATTGCAACATCTTTGATCCCGGTAGGTGGGAAATTTATTGGCAAAGGGTTAAAAGCTATAGGAAAAGCAGTAAAAAAGAAACCATTAGGTCCCAAAAAAATATCAAAACGTGATGTAGACGGAGTAAACAATAACAATAGGAAAGTCCCTGAAAATAAAAAAAATGTTGATAAAAATAGGAGGAACTGTAAAAAGAGGCCCAAGAGAATGGCAAATAAAAGACCTAGACCTGGTAGTTGTGATAGTGATGATGATGATGATGATGAAGATAATTTATGTCCAACCGTTAGTATACCTAATGTTATACAACGTACATTAGTATCAGGATGTTCAAGTAGGAAAAAGGGTGCAATTTGTGACTTTGAGTGTGAACCTGGATATCAGGAACCAAATAGCCAAGTTAAATGTGTTGGTAGAGGGAATCAGCGACCAACATGGATACCAACACCAACCTGTGATAGAATTAACTGTGGTGCCATTCCATATCCTCTCATTTCATTACAAACCCCTCAGGTTAACAAGCTTGGTTCTACTGTTTTTGGACATTTTGTAACAGTTTATGTTGCACTTTTCAACTTATTCCGCAAGCTTCCTGTATGGACTATAGCTCTTCATCAGAGTACTCAGTTTGGAAGTAAAGATTACGCAGCTAGTAAAGACCTACTGAGAGCTCATGGTTATAAACCTTTCCCTTGCACACAACTGGCAAGGTATCAAGGATCTCCATCAGATTACAGTGGAAAACCATGGGATCAAGGACATTTAACCCCTGCCAATATTGCAAGGTGGTCTGAAAAAGCAAGACTTAGTTCAAATCTATATATAAATCTTGCTCCACAAGATCCATTCACCAACCAAGGACCATGGAAAAGATTAGAAACTGCAGTTGAATGTTTCAGCAGGAAACGTCGAAGTCTTGTTGCTACCGGATTATGTAACAATAACATCGGGAAAACCAATACACTTGAAATTCCTTCATGCTATTGGAAAATGGTATGCTACAAAGATGAAAATTTGAAGGAACAAGTTGTTGGTTTCATGGCAAGTAATAATCATCCAGCAAACAAAAAAGAAAAGAACCTAAGAAGAAAACAAGTCTATACACCTTTATCACAATACGAGATTCAAAGAGAACTTCAAGCATTAAATCTAAATATAAGAAGCCCGTGGATACATTCAGCTTCTAGCATTAATGCTGGTCGTCCTGTTGCAGTTGGAACCGATGCTTCGGTTTGGTTTCCGGTAAACCCATTTGCATGTGAAAGAGCTGATACTCTGTCAGAAACTGAGAAAAATGCTTGGATTCAAGGGTTACCTGAGGTAAAAGATAAGAAAAAGAGAAGGAAAAGAGAAACTACTCCAGCAATCACACGCGGGTGTCATAGCACCTCAGAACTAAGAAACATGCAGTCACTCTTAGGAATAATTTCAGATGGAGAAGATGGTGATGAAGACGAGCTTGGATCTGGTTCACAATTTGAAGAAGGTGGAGGAAGTACGCTGGTTAATGTCCAAAACTGCAATAAACGTATAATTGGTTACTATACATCTTGGGGAAAGAAGAAAATCAGTGGTAGGGAATTAAGGAGATTAACACATGTAATTTATGCATTTTTAGAAATGAAAGAAGATGGAACCATAGATGTAGGCTCAGCTGATAGAAAAAATGCACAAAATATTAATGATGAAGTAAAAAATGCTAAAGAGCGTTTAGAAAATCTAATGGAGTTGGCAGCTCTGCATCCTCATGTCAAAATTATGTTTGCAGTAGGTGGTTGGGAGAATTCTCAGTATTTTAGTGATGTAGCTGCTAGCCCACAAAAAAGAATAACTTTTATAGCCTCCATAGTAAAAATGATCCAGCGATATGGATTTGATGGTGTTGATATTGACTGGGAATATCCAGTAACTGGAGGTGCCAATGAGGGTATTCCACAAGATAAACAAAACTATGTTAATCTGATGAAAGAAATAAGAAGTGCTTTGGATAACTTGGCCAGTGAGGTAAGAAGAGGAGAAAAGTTCTTGTTGTCTTTTGCAGGAGCTGCAGGGCAGTGGACACTAGATCCAGGATTTGATTTGCCAGGATTGCTAAAGCATGCTGATTTTGCAAACATAATGAGCTATGATTATTTTGGAGCCTGGTCAAGTAAGTGGGGAGCTTATACAGGACCTCCATCACCTTTGTATTTTGGAATGCCTCCAAGATTTTCTGGTAAAACAAATGTTGATTGGACAGTAAAATATTACACATGTAAAACGCAACTGCCGCATAAGATAAATATAGGTTTACCATTCTATGGAAGATTTTGGAAAAATGTTGGTCAACCAGTAGATGGCAAGGATGGAATGTGGAGAACTGCAGAAAGAGTAAACGGTGTGTTTGAAGGGGGATATAAGGCATGGAACGAAATACCTGAGTTTTTAGAAACAGGGGGGTTTGAACAAAATTTCCACGAGAAAAGTCGTACTCCATATGCTTGGAATCCAGCATCTAAAACATTTTTAGGATATGAAAACAAAAAATCTCTCGAGGCTAAAGTACAATATGCAGTGAAAAAGAACGTGGGTGGACTAATGATATGGTCTGTTGAGCTTGATGATGATGACCTCACATTGTTAAATACTGTCTATCAAGCTCGACTTTGTGACAAAACAAACCCAAATGAAATTAATCATAAATGCTCTCCAATAGATGAAAAACGCTGGTGGACATCAGAGGATGGAGATGACATGGCTGGTCTTTGTGGCCGTTCTGCACCGTTGTATAAGGGATATTACCCGGTCTGTGACCCAGACGACCCAGGCTACAGCTGTTGTGGACCCGCTGGGTACTGCGGATCAGGAGAAAAATACTGTGACTGTCCGACTTGTAAAAACTATGGAGATAACCCACAAAAGATTCTAGAGCAGCCTATCAAACCAACTGTCCCTGTTACCTGGTATTTTCTTAATGCTGAAGAAGGAAAACGTGGCAGATGTGGAAGAAAAGTAAAAAAACTCAAAGATGTATTTCCAACGTGTAACCCAGATGATGATAATGCATATTGTTGCTCCAATGGTGGATATTGTGGAAGTAAACCAGAACACTGCACTTGCAACGGTTGTATTAACTTCAAGAAAAATAAAAACTACCGTTATGGGCCTAAAAAGTGGTGGGATCAGAGTGATGGTGAAGACAAAGCAGGAAAATGCGGCCCAAAAGTACCAAAGGTTGATGGAATCTACGAAGCAGAATGTGAGCCAAATACCAAGTTCAACTGTTGCAGTAAAAATGGGTACTGTGGCTCCGGGCCGGAGTATTGCGACTGTCCAGGGTGTAAAAAATTCACTTAAATATCTGATAAAAATAACTAACAGAGTTTTATTGAGTTAATCAATTTATTTTCTAATGTACCTTTAGAGAGAAAGCTGTTACCGTAATGGTATGACCTATGTTAGAAATTACTGTACATTTCAGGGCCCTAAAAAGCCAATAAAATTGTAATTCTTATATTTGTATAAACTAAACAATAGTGTATAGAGTTATCTCTATAGACCTAATTATTCATATAGTTCCTTTGATTTTGATTCTAAATGCGTCAACCAATTCCTTCACTTGAATGAGTTTACAAACACGGCTAATCTACCAGTGGTGGTCCCGACCAAGATATGTTGTTTGTACTCTACAAATCAGTTTATCTCACTTTTTCCAAAAATATCAACGTGACACGTATATAACCATTAACCAATCAAAGACAAAGTTTAGTAAGTTATATTAATATTTCCATCCTAGACAAATTGTTTACTGAGGTGTTGAAAGTTATAAACACAAAAAATTGTCTCCAATGTTTTCCTTATGGAGGCAAATGAATTGATGCAAGTTTGCTAGTTTATTTATGCATCTTCATCAAATTTGACAAATTTCTTGATTTTATTGTGGGCTTAAACAAATTTTACCAGTAAGAATTTTATGAGAGCCTTGTAGCAGCAAACGTAAGTACTGTATTTACTAAGTCGATGGGTCATTTATCCATAGATTTCCTAATGTTATAAACGTATTTGAATACAAATTAACAATGTGAATTCAACAGGGAAATTGAAAATTCCCTTAGTCTGCAAGTTGCTCCAAAATTATGATTACATACTTTAAGAAAAAGTATCTATCTACTAGTAGGAGTAGCAACAAGTAAATTTCCTGAAGAAAAATATCACCAATGTAATTGATATTATGGAACTAGGCCCAAGACAAATGAAATGTTGTATTTCAAGGTTTCTAGAGATTTGATGGGTATGTTATTTATGAACAAATCTATGATGGTGTACTCTAAGATCGTCTTGTCTGAGAATAAGAGTAAAGTATGTGTCATATAATTACAAATGTTTTGAATTTAATATGATATACTTATATAATAGTATCCATACTATCTATAGATATATAGTATCAACTTGTGTTTAGAGAGGTTAAGTTTACAAATAAGATAGGCTTATGGAAATGTTTATGAAAACTGTTGTTAAATATCTTTTGAAATAGCATACACCCATTGGTTGGAGATAATATTGTAAATTTGGTTTAAACTTAAAGTAAAGTGACCTTGTTCTGTTTATAGATCACATACTGTAATGCTTATTCATAATATGGCTATTGAAATGCAGTAAACTGTAATTATAGGATAAAGTCCTCGAGTTAAATATTTGATTGCATAAAAGATGCTGAATATCTTAGAATAATAATTAAAGGTAGTTTTCATTTTTTATCAAATTAACTAATGTTAAAGTTTTACATGTTCGTACAAAGAACCAAAGCCAAAATCATACTAAATTATAGCCATATTCCCTTGGTCAACTAATTCATGAATTGAAATATTATGTACATGTTTCTTTAACAAAGCTTTTACCTAAACTTAGTTTTGTTTTTGGAAGAATGAAGCTTTTTCAAAGGTGTTTTAAAATGGCTGTTTGAATATTATATTAAGTATCTTATTGTGTAGCTTTTTTATTGAGTATATCGATTAAAAATTATTTCTGAACTTGTTTGATTGTATACCTTGTTTATTTATTGTAGAAAACCTTGGTATATCAGACATTTTTTTTTTTTTTTTTTTTTAATAGAGGGCCAGGCTTGATATATATCAGACATGATAAATACTTTAAATTGGGAGGAGTCAGATCAGAAGTAAAGAGAAGTATCTGCAATACTGAAACCGTTAACCAATTTTTAATCCTACTACTAATAATAATCTTAATTCCGATAAATTATGACAATAATTTCTATAGTTAAAAAAATTGAACTGTTTTTCTTATTAGAATTACTTCTAACAATTAAATCATTACAATATAAGCTCTGTTTTTTAGACAAACTGCCAAACATAACACCTTCAAATTGGTTATTTTGATATTGTTTTATTTCCTTGTCAGATTTAAAATACATTTTTTAATATTGATGATTCCAATAATAAATGTTAGGTATCATGTTTTTCATTCAAGTTAGACGACGTAATTAAAGACCTAAAGATTCATAACAGTTGATATACGTTTATGCCCACATTACAGTCCCTGTGTAGACACCATCAGCCCAAGTAGTATTCATGTCTAGTTTTTTTTTTATTGTGCAGGTAAGCAACTAAGGAAGAATGTTTTGAAGGGTATACACCATGGCACGTCAATGTTCGTATGATATTCTTATGAACTAATTGGATCAGTTTACTGCGTAAATTTATTTCCTGGTTTAAAATTATTTATCAAGTTGGTCTCTGGACGAAGCAGTACTACTATTGTATAGTATCTAGACTGAAATACTCAAGGGATTAGCCACTCACTAATTTTAGTTAGTCTGAAACCAAGTTGACACTTGTGCCATATTTACACAGCCTAACCCATTTCTGCACTTTAACCTCATCTTTCATGAACTTTAGACCCTTGTGTGTATAATGTGATAATTTGAGCAAAAATCATCCGATTTTGGTACAAAGAAATAAAATTACATCCATTCTAACGAGTTTGCTAACCCAGCATGATGGGACTATGGCAACAGAGTTTTAAGGGGTAAAAATTGGTTTATCCATTCTGTGACCCCCATACCATAAAAGTTTGGACATTTATTTCCAGAAAATTTGGTACCTATCTCAGTATTGGTATGCTCTTTATAGTTACGGAGAACAAAAAACTATGAATTAAAAATGCTCAAGTTTTAGCGAATTTCCTATATAGGGAATACCGGTAAGCTATTACCGTAGGTCTCATGGTAAGACCTAGGCCCGGGACCGATTTCCTTTTTCGTTTTGAGGTCCCCAGAGGCCAAAAACACCATCTGTTCAAATTCATATATATATATATATATTTATATATGTGTCCGTTAGCGCGATAACTCGAGCAAAAATGATCCGATTTTGATGAAATTTGGTATAAACGTGTAAACCTACATTTATTCGAACCAGTTCGCGAACCAACATGATCGGACAATGGGAACAGGGGTTAATGGGGGGTTTTATGGGGTAAAAATGGGTTTTTCTCATTTTTTAACCTGAAAACATAAAATGTTGCTATTTCTTTCCAAACCATTTTGTAGAGCTCAAAAAAAAAAACAAATAATTTGGTATATTGAAGCATTGTTGTATGCCTAACGGTTACGGAAAAAATCCCAAAATAGTGTTAATTTAAAATTGCCATGTTATTCTTATGGAAAATACATACACTGTTGTAGCTTGCCCGTCTATAGACATATTTTAATTAAATTTTGTTTACGTTATACTAAGCTATCAATATTTCAATAAAAACCCCCTATTTTCTTCCCTGTGGCAGCAAACCTAAGTACTCAATTAAAATTAATGATATTTAAATAGGAAATAAATCTGCCAATATTAAAGAAATAATTCAGTGGAATTCCAGCCAGGTAGATGGAAATTCGCTTAGTCTGCAGGTTTGCTGCGGTGGGGGTATTCCCATTTTTGACCCTATAAACACAAAATTCCACAATTTCTTTTTAAACCATTTTGTAGAGCTTAAAAAACAAATAATTTAGTATATTGAAGCGTTATTATGCGCCTAATTGTTATGGAGAAAATTCAAAAAAATTGTAATTTTAAAATTCCCATGTTATTCTTATGGAGAATAAGTCAACTGTTGTAGTTAGCTTGTTTATGAACATATTTTAATCATATTTGGAAAATACATTAATTTCTTACTAAACCACAGTACCTTTTAACATTTTACATTAAAAAAACTTGTTTACCCTCCCTGATGCAGCAAACCTAAGTACTCATTAAAATAATTCTGTTTGAATAGGGAATAAATGTGATATTTTTAAGGGGACATTTTAGTTTAAATCCAATTAGGCAAATGGAAATTCGCTAAGTCTGCAGGTTTGCTGCGGCGGGGGTATTTTTAATTGAGAATACGTAAACTGATCTAATTTGTTTGTGGATACATTTTTATAAAATTTGGTTAATTTATTTATTTTATACCAAGCTTTCATCATTCCACTAAAACACACTCTTTATAATTAATGTTATTTAAAGAGGTATGTTTAAGTGACATGATTAACACGTTCAGTGCAGCAGGCATTCCAACAGGCGCTTGCCAATGGCGACGAGGCCCGGGCGCGGCACCGTAACAGCAAACGCAATTGGCATTCAAATATTTCAATCTGACGAATAACAAAAGAGCAGCGGTGATTGTACTACGTTACCCCGAGATTGGACGTTGTTCCCTAAAACACCCAAAGGTAGCAGCACTGACTTGAAGAGAGAAAATCCCCGAAACCGGGACAAAAGCAATGTCAGACGGGATTTTACGGGAAATTTTAGTACCAACCTATACCAAAATAAAGCTCACATTCTAAGCTACAGGCTAGCAAAGATTTTAACGTTCCCCGGCAATGGCTGAGCTCATACTGAACTAATGTATTGGGGGTTGCGCAACTACATTAATTGATGTAGGCCGATAGGAGCGCTCGTGGCGCGACGCTGATTGATGTAGTCAGCACTCAACGTGTTAAGGAAATATTTTAGTGAAACAAGGTTAATGGTAAGTTGCTTAATCTGCAGGTTTGCTGTGACGGGGGTATTTATGAATTGTTGTAATGCTGATCTCAGGAATTAAACCAGGAAGAGGAAACCCAAGTAAACTTTAAAACAGAGCATTCAGCTATGTTGAGAGAGCTGAGACAAGATTACAACAAAAGCCTACTTCAGAGGCATTTTAAGCCTTCACAATCCACGCCAAGATAATCTTTTTAACGACTGGATATTTTTGATTGGTTTGCATTTGGGGTTGGATATTATTGATTGTGTGGTAAATTGGTGTTACACCAACATTTATGTTAATGGAGTCCCACAGGAAAAGCCAGCTGTTATGTTGGCGACACAAAAAACTAGATCTTCTGGGAACAACCGATTTACAGACAAAACATAGTAACATGGTCATATCCAGTAGACCCAGTTTGCAATGGAAACCATGGAGTTACCATGGAAGCCTTACTTCCTATGATAATAAATGTACTTTGATACGAGTGACCAAACCTCACCTGGAATTTACATAGAAATTAGAAACCCAAATCACAGAAAACATACTACTATAACCCAGAATGCCAACCGCATGGTAAAAAGAGTTAAGCACTTTGAGAGAGCATTGCCTGTCAATTCGTAGGCAGCGCCACCAGCGTTGCCATGCACTCAGCATAAGCCTCGTTCACACAATGGGAGTTTACAAGCTACTTGCCAGCGTGTAAGAAGCCGGCGAGTTGGCGAGTGTGCTAGTATTCGTTCACACGGAGCTTGTCCATTCGCCAACTCGCAAACGTGTAGAAAGACGCCGACGAGTTGGCGAGTGTGCTAGTATTCGTTCACACGATGCTTTTTCCACTCGCTCAGTAGCTAGCTTGAACCAAATCCTCCAATATCTTTGAATAACAAGCGCACAAGCACAAGAAACTGTGTTCACACTGGTCTACTTTACACCTACTCGCTCGAAAGCTGGCGAGTTGGCATGTAAAGTAGCGGCAGCATCAACTTTTCCAAAGCTTTTTTACGAGCAGCTTTTGAGCGAGTACGTCGTTCACACTGAGCTATTTTATTAGCTGCGTGTAAAAAAGCCAGCGTGTAGCTTGTAAACTCGCCCCGTGTGAACGGGGCTATAGCAACGCTGGTGGCGCTGCCTATCAACAGGCAAAGCTCTCTCAAAGTACTTAACGCTTTTTACCATGCGGTTGGCATTCTGGGTTATAGTAGTATGTTTTCTGTGCCCAAATGGACTAACAATGACTTGATGTTTTAATAAAATAATCACATTTTTTGTGTTATTTTATTTCTTTTTGAAAACATAGTTAACATGTGGTTTAGAGCCTATATACAATGTTATTACAGGTTGATGAATCAAAGAGACCATCGTATAAAAAATCAAAAGTTACAGTACCATTCAATAACGACAAAATAAAATGAAAATACTAATTAATTTATTTAATCTCATAACACATTGCATGCTTATATACATTAATCCACAGTGATTGCAATGACCAGCGTACAAAACTTATAACTTACAAAACTAAGCACAATGAAGATACAATTTATGAATTTAATCTCATGTAGATGATATTACAGTTCCACTGTAAAAAACAAATAGGAAACTTGTTGGCTAAATATAATTGTTCATAAAAGAAATATGATTAGTTAATCACAGATTATTTCATTAATAAGTTCAAAACAGTCCTCAAGAACCTACATTCATGTGATCATAACATTAATAACAATAAGCAATAATGATTATACAAATTTAAAGCTTGAATGAAATCTAAACAGTGATAAGAACAGTTTTATCATAACATGTACATTTCGAGTGCAAATTGAAAGTTGACACAATTTTTGTTATGGTATACAATGTTATTTTATAAAACTTGATACTTTTAACTTTAAAAAAAAATTCTTAATGATGAAAAATTGTTCTTCATAACAATAAGTATATACTACAAAGTCTTCAATATGACATTTGCTAAATCTTAGTTAGGTAAATATCCAAGATGACAGTCAAGCACCCCACACAAATCTGAAACATTTATTAAACCATCATAAGAGCAGTAATATTAAAACTAAACAAAATAATAATTATATTACCAAAAATATTATAAAATCTCTGTCTTATTCAGGGTTTGAACTTAAACATGAAAATAAAATTCACCTTTGTTTTTACGTTCATATTTGGATGGATATTTGTCATGTTGATAAGCGTCAACATTCTGAGACGGAATGCAAGCATAGTCACGATCATCACGAGATCCCATAACGGAAATGAGGCAGTTAGGGGGTGCCACAGCGATTTTCCTGATGCTGCCACATGCAGTAGACAGACACCAGCCAGAGCAGATGTGATTTAGATTCCTGACTAAGTTAAAATACTATAGAGGTGTAAGCGTCTCAATGTTCAAGCCGAGCCGAACCAAAAAGCTTGAGTGATACAAAATATTTTTTAACAAGTGAGAAAATCTAGCTTTTGTCGGTAAGCATGACAAAGAACATTATTCATCGACCCACCTGGATTTCCTTTACTTAGTTTTGTGCAGAGGAGCTGAAGGTGGTGGAGGGTGGTGAGGAGCAAACTGCACAGTAGTTGTGTGGGTGGTTGTGGTGGTACTATGGTGTTGCTGATACAACGGTGTACTGCCTGGGAGGACTGAAATGAAATGAGTGTTTAGAATACTCACTATTTAACCAATGTACCAGTACTGCAGACAATTGCATGGCTACTCTTGAAAGAAACATTTTTACACAATTTTATTTTTATCTTTATCAAAGTTATAAAACATACCAAGTTAAACAGTCCTTGACATTTAGGCTTGTAGTAAACTTGGTAAAAATGTGTACAAAAAGTTATTTAAAATTCTGCAATTGTCGTGTTACAAAAATACTCCACCATGGTGATGATAATGCGTTTTTTAACATGTTTACTGCACATGACGAGTGATCTCGTCACCGATAGGGCTTTCCAGTGGCCAAGACAAGTATACTCGGCAAAGCGCCGTTTACAAACTATTGTTCCAGTGTGAGGTTAGCCACTGCCGTGAGACGTTGTTTCGCTTCCCGCTTATTGTGCCAGTGTTATACTTCATTCTGGTATAATTCGTTTTCAGATCCGACTATGTTATAGGTGGTAGGGATTGTTGCAAATTTATTGTGGTGTGGGGTTTAGGCTTGGATCTAATGACATGCAATAGAATAATGATAATGAATGTACCGTAGCATTGTGGAAGGAACCTAACCTCAAAATTGTGCTTGACCACTTTCTAGCGGTATTTTTCTATGGTGTATCCGGGTACCCCTGGTTTTTTTCATCCATTTGGCAATACTAAGGGCCGGCTAGCAGTATTGTTTAGTGCTACTATCAGCTTATTTCTTGTAAAACTACGCCCACAACGACTGGGACACAGTATATACCTCTCATTTGGAAGAAACTAAATTGAAACGTTTTCACGCACTCATCTACATTAGGTGTGTTAATAACTTTAGAAAAATATTTATAATAAGTTTACTGAAAGCTTACAAGTCAAGGATTTTTTGACAAGGAATATTTTGGCCATTGTTGTATCGCAACCCTGGGACTGTAAAAATAAATTATAATAAATATTTTACCTGTAAAAGATTGTGGAGGAACATACATAAACCCTGGAGGTGGCGGGGGGTAGTGGAACATTGGCGGGGGAGAGCCTGGAGGTGGTGGGGGAGGTGTACTGTCATCCTCCTCATCATCGTCTCCATCTTCAACCCTGATGATTCTCACCTTCACCTGAAAATCGTTATCGAATCAATCACAATAAAAAAATAATGACTGAATCGTCTTAAAAGCGTACATAATAATAATTATACTAGATAACTCACATTAAAATCATGATAACTTAAAGAAATATGACGACTAGTAACTCAAAACTACCAAGAAACAAAATTTCTAACCCCAGGGATATTTCTAGTAACAAGCAACGTAATGTTATAAATTTTGATGGTGAGGAGAGCCTGTTATGATTCAGTTCTAATACATATATTTGTAGAGATCAGGAACTACACAAAGAACCACTATTAGGCTTATCAGTGTTGAGTTCCTCATATTAATAGATGAGAAGTAAACTCAAATAACAAGTTTAACATAAAGTAATATTGAAGTTTAACTCTTTTTTGAAGAGAAACTAGTTCCAATTTTATGTTTTAGTGTTTGTCGTAGGATAAATATTGCTAGTAAGGTCAATGTAGGAGACTATTTCTTACACTTCAATAGAAACTTTTATGGTAAACCTAATAACAATGACATCATCATTTTGTAGTTTCATACAACTATTCATGCAAAAGAAAGCAAAGATTTAAAAAATATCTCTCAAATATGGAAGATCGACTTTTTCCCTAGACCTTAAAACATTGGTAAAATCGATAAGTACTTTACAGAATGGCATCAGGTAAAGTGCCATAGCTCGAAGAGGGTTAAAATAGATACTATTAAATAATTAACATCGTTCTAAGGTTTAAAACTGAGTTGATCAGATTCATGTTCTGTACCATCTCTTAACAGACCCTCACAGGAATGGGCCTAGGTTGGATAATATAACGTTTTTGTCAAATGGAACTATGCAAACGTATGTAAAAACTGTTGATATAAATATTTTATTGATATGATCAATGTGCCTAGTTGCATTGGAATTTTTTTTATAAATTATATTGTAACCAAGCAACAATAAAAGTATGGAAATTTATCAGGTACCAATTAAATATACTGTTGAAAGACAATCGGTCTCTTCTATACTAGACTAGGCCTACTGCTAATTTTACTCTTTAAAATAGTGTTTTGTTGGATAAAATACAAAGTTCAACTGCAAGCATTGAAAATATTGTATTGTGTATAAATAACACATACAGTGTTTTTTTCACGCAACCCAAATTAAAGTTCATAGGGGTCGAACACATTTTAATGACAAAACAAGCTGATATGCTGGTATCCCTGTTTTCTTGACTTCATTGCCGATCGACTCATATGCGTTATTACATAATATCTATGAGGTTTAGTGTAATTGAGAATTTATTGTAAATAAGACACAACATGGTGTTTCCCCAAGCTTGAAGAGATAAAAGAATACGCTAAAAAGTAAATTATAGGTTTTATGCCAAGAAAGGTTTGAAATAAAGTTTCCAGATGTGATTCCAGGTAATAAATTGACATGTACAAATTTAAGGATTTCTAGTAAACAAAAAATTCATACCTACATACAGTAGACTCCTTATCCGGACATCTCTTTAAAAGGACAATTTTTATCTGAACATCGGTTTAACCAGACTAGATCGGCAGGAAGTGAGCGGTATTGAAACGACTATTCTCGTGGCAAAGATTTGAGACCAGTGATCATGTGTCTAAATACAATGCTCTCCTAAATTTAAGTCAAATACTGTGTATTTGTATGCATTCATAGGGGTCGAACACATTTTAATGACAAAACAAGCTGATATGCTGGTATCCCTGTTTTCTTGACTTCATTGCCGATCGACTCATATGCGTTATTACATAATATCTATGAGGTTTAGTGTAGTTGGGAATTTATTGTAAATAAGACACAACATGGTGTTTCCCCATGCAGTATGCATTCAAACGGTCCGTTTTAACGACTTTTTGGGAGACGTCAGTTTAACCGGAAAAACCCCGAAGAGTCCAGATAAGAGAGAGTCTACCTACTGTACATACTTTATTTGAGCGTGTGAAAACACCCCGCTGAGTCTTATTTACAATAAATTCCTAATTACACTAAAAATCATAGATAACTACGCAGCAATGCATTTCAGCTGATCGGCAATGAGGTGAAGAAAAAAAATGATACCAACATATAAGTTTGTTTTGTCATTAAAATGTGTCTCACAATAATTTTAGTTTAGGTTGTGCTAAAAAAAAAACAGCTTGTACTGTAGGTTTAAGTTTTTTTGTTTTCTAGGAATACGGTTTCTTTAAATGTATACATGATAACAGGCTTACCTGAATGGGAAAGAGTCCAAACTGGCACACGAGAAACAAAACTTACACTATATACACAAAACATTAAAATCAAGGAAGAGAGAGTTTTCTTCAGGTCCAATATCAAACCATTTAAATGTACCATAATGTCATACCACATGGTATATTGGTATATACCTATACTAGGGATGGACGGGATTGAATTTTTAGTTCGGGACGGGACGGGACGGGATTTTTATTTCCTTCCCAATTTTCGGGACGGGACGGGACGGGATTTTTTTCTGTGCATAAAAAGAAAGTACTGTATTGCAGTTACCAAAAAAGACATACGAAATCAATTTTTACAATTTGTGGCACTGATCTATAAATACCCCCGCCGCAGCAATCCTGCCGACTAAGCGAATTTCGATTTGTCTGAATTGATTTTCAGTTAAATATATTTTAATAACATTATGTTTAACGAGTACCTAGGTTTGCTGCTACAAGGAAACTAATAAAGTGTGTTTTTGAGTAAAATATTGATAGCTTAGTACAAAAAAAAATTTGCCAAGTTTGATCAAAATATATCCATAAACAAGCAAACTACAACATTTGACAATATAGTGGAAGAATATTAGGAAAATCGACCTAACAAATTCGGACTAAGTGGAAACTTTGCACAGTTGTTTAATAAGCTTAAATAAATAAAATATCAAAAGTCCCCATAAATCCCAGCTGTGCTTCAGCCGCCATCTTGGAAAATGGCGGCCTTTTTTAACTTTTTTGACAATATTTCACAAACTATTGGTATTAGAGAATTTTTGTAAATACAAAAAGTTAAAGAACGTCTAAAAATACATATTTTTAATACTACAAGGTTTGCTCTATCTCTAACTGTTATTGAGATAAATAATAAAAATAGTATTAAATTTGAAATTCCCATGTTATTCTTATGGAGGAAAATAAAATTGTTGCAGTTTGCTTATTTATGGATATATTTGGATCAAACTTGGCAAATTTATTTGTTTTATACTAAGCTATTATATATTTAACATAAATACACACTTTAGTACCCTCCCTATAGCAGTAAACCTTAGTACTCGTTTAATTTAAAGTTATTTATATAGGGAACATATATTACATTTTTAGGATAAATTTTTTGTATAAATCCAGTCAGGTAAATGGATATTCATTTGTAAATCGTATTAACAATAATTTTTTCTTATTAGTATTATGATTTAAAGCTCACCAACTATCTTGTCACTACTATGTAACTACTCAAAACTTGCATGGTACGTTATTACTCCTGGTATAATTATTTTGTCGGTAAATATTAGTAAATGCAACCTTAAAATCCGGACTAAATTGAAATTTTGCACAGTTAAGCACAGTAAGCCTAGTTGATGAAAATGGCAAAAGTCCCCACAAATTCCGGCTGTGCTCATCCGCATTTAGTCCGGATTTTAAGGTTGAATTTCCTAATATTCACCGACAAAATAATTATACTGGGATTAATAAGTAGGCTTACCATGTAAGCAGTTACATAGTAGTGAAAAGATAGTAAGTGGACTTAAACTTTAATATTAAAAAGGGAAAACTATTGTTAATCTGTCAAAAAATAAATTTCCATTTGCCTGACTGGATCATTTCTAAAATACTTCCTAAAAATGTAAGAATATTCCCTATTTAAATACGATAACTTTAAATTTAACGAGTACTAGGTTTACTGCTATGGGGAGAGTAATAAAGTGTGTATTTATGTTAAATATTAATAGCTTAGTATAAAATAAATATATTTGCCAAGTTTGATCCAAATATATCCATAAATAAGCAAACTGCAACAATTTTATTTTCCTCCATAAGAATAACATGGGAATTTTAAATTTAATACTATTAGCGAATTTCCCTATAGGGAAGTAGCTATTACCGTAGGTCTCATGGTAAGACTTAGGCCCGGGACCGATTTACTTTTTCATTTTAATGTCCCCAGAGGCCAAAAACACCATTCGTTCAAATTTTTATATATGTATATATATATATAGATTTATATATATATATATATATGTGTCCGTGAACACGATAACTTGAGTAGTTTTTATCCGATTTTGATGAAATTTGGTTTGAAGGTGTAAGGCGGGATAAACTTGAATGAGTTCGCGATCCAGCATGATCGGACCATGGGAACAGGGTTTTATGGGGGGTTTTATGGGGTAAAAATTGTTTTTTCTCACTTCTTACCCTCAAAACACAAAATTTACCAATTTTTCTCTAAACCTTCTTAAAGAGCTTAAAAAAACAAACAATTCAGTATATCAAAGTGTTTTTGTACGGTTATTGGTTACGGAGAAAACTAAAAAAATGGTAAATTTAAAATTCCCATGTTATTCTTTCTTATGGAGAATATTGTAAAATGTTGTAGTTTGCTTGTTTATGGATATATTTTGATCAAACTTGGCAAATTGATTTATTTTATAGTAAGCTATCAATATTTTACTAAAAACACACTACTTTATTAGTTTCCTTGTGCCAGCAAACCTAGGTACTCGTTAAACCTAATGTTATTTAAATAGATCAATTGAAAATCAATTCGTCCAAATGGAAATTCGCTTAGACGGCAGGTTTGCTGCGGCAGGGGTATTTTTATTATTTATCCCAGTAACCGTTAGAGATAGAGCAAACCTTGTAGTATAAAAAATATGTATTTTTAGACGTTCTTTAACTTTTGTATTTACAAATATTCTCTAATACCAATAGTTTGTGAAATATTGTCAAAAAAGTTAAAATTGGCCGCCATTTTCCAAGATGGCGGCTGAAGCAAAGCCGGGATTTATGGGGACTTTTGATATTTTATTTATTTAGGCTTACTAAGGAACTCTGCAAAGTTTCCACTTAGTCCGAATTTGTTAGGTCGAATGGCAGTTGTATCCCTAAAATTCCTGGCCTAATATTCTCCATAAGAATAACATGGGAATTTTAAATTTACAATTTTTTTAATTTTCTCCGTTACTAACAATTGAATAAAAATACTTTTATATACTAAATTATTTGTTTTTTTAAGCTCTTTAAAAAGGTCTAAAGAGAAATTGGGAAATTTTGTGTTTTGAGGGTCAAAAGTGAGAAAAACCAATTTTTACCCCATAAAACCCCCCGTAAAGCCCCGTTCCCATGGTCCGATCGTGCTGGTTCGCGAACTCATTCAAGTTTATCCCGCTTTACACCTTTAAACCAAATTTCATCAAAATCAGACAAAAATTACTCAAGTTATCGCGTTCACGGACGTATATATATATAAGTCTATATATATATATATATATATATATATATTTACATATATAAAAATTTGAACGAATGGTGTTTTTGGCCTCTGGGGACATCAAAATGAAAAAGTAAATCGGTCCCGGGTCTAGGTCTTACTGTGCCACCTACGGTAATAGCTACTTCCCTATAGGAAAATTCGCTAAAACCAAAAAATGGGTAACAATTTACAGGTACCTATAGAAACTTGTGACTCGCGGTCACGGCGCGATCGTCGGTATGACTCCCCGGTCACGGGGTTATTGTCGGTATGACTCAACGGTCACGGCGCGATCGTCGTCATGACTCGCGGTCACGGCGCGATCGTCAGCATGACTCGCGGTCACGGCGCGATCGTCGTCATGACTCGCGGTCACGGGGTTATCGTCGTCATGACTCGCGGTCACGGCGCAATCGTCGGTATGACTCGCGGTCACGGCGCGATCGTCGGTATGACTCCGCGGTCACGGGGTTATCGTCGGTATGACTCGCGGTCACGGCATGATCGTCGGTATGACTCGTTCACGGCTCGATCGTCAGCATGACTCCACCATCACGGCATGATAGTCAGTATGACTCCGCGGTCACGGCGCGATCGTCGGTAGGACTCCGTGGTCATGGTGCGATCGTCGGTAGGACTCCGCGGTCACAGCGCGATCGTCGGTATGACTCGCGGTCACGGCGCGGTCGTCGGTAGGACTCCGCGGTCACGGCGTAATCGTCGAAATGACTTTCGTCTCCTGCGTTCGCGGACCTATCGCTCGCAATAACGGCGTTATCGGCACTCGCAAAGCGGAAAAATTGCCGACGATCGGACGAAATCCCGTCCCAAAAAATTCCCGAGTCAAATGTAATCCCGTCCCGATAATCGGGAATATTTTTTTCCCGAAAAATTCCCGAAATTTCGGGACCCGTCCATCCCTAACCTATACCAATTATCATACCTTTTATTGAAATTGCACCTGAAGAAAACTCTCTCTATCTTAGTTGAAGGTAAAATGTTCAGATTTTTTATGCATATAGTGTAAAGTGTTGTGTCTCTGGTGCCAGTTTGGACTTCTTCCCATTAAGGTAAGCCTGCCATCCTCACATAAATACTAAAAACCTATGTCATTGTGCTCTATGTTAAACCCTCAACAAGTTTAATAGTTTAAGGTGGATAAACTAAGGGTTATTTTTGCTTTAGCAGGACAATCCAAGCAATGGTTTATTCTTAAGCGTCGGTTAAGAGAGGGTGCGTCCCATCTTCACATCCTAGTAAGCTAGGTTCAAGCCTGGAACTGTTTTACACAGCACTTCAGGCTAGTCCTAGAGGGTCGTGGCATTATCACAAGGATAAAATTGAATGGCGATAAGCAGGATTTGAACCCAGAACTCTGGGTTCCGTAGCCCCGCGCTCTACCACAAGACCAGCTCGCTCCCCAAAGATATAGTCTACTGTATTACACCACTCAAATTTCAAGCCAAAGTAATCTACCACTTGAAATTTTAACTTTCTGACATTAATGCTGTCGTTTTACTTACTACAAGTTACTTGCATACAAACATTTTTGGACCAAGTGGTACAACAAATAGCTCATTTCTTACAGGAACAATAGTTAAAAAAAAAATGATTACTTACCTTGCGCTTCTTTTTACTTTTTTTGAAGCGTTTCTCCTTAGCCATTGGAGGTGGTGAGTGGGGGTGTTCCTCGGTCAATGGCGGGTCTTCTCCCTCTCCTGGCTGAACTCCATCGGCAAACGACACATTCTTCTTAATCTTCTCTTCTTTTAGGGGTCGTTCTCTGTAAATGAATTCTTAGTAATTAAAAGACAAGATGTAAACGTTATTTCAATAATTTAAACTCTTTGAAACGTATACTAATACTTTGGGCAACAATTTTGTTTATTGAGTTAAGTTTGTATCAACTTGCATTAAATATCTCTGTAAAATTCAGAAGAATTCAAACCTATACTTAAAATTAAAATAATATTGATTCTTAGTGTAGTGATAAGAATTAAATAGAAAACATACAAGAAACAATAAAAAAATAAGGTAGCGAAGTCCCCGATTAAAAATGTTTGAGAAAAAGCCAAAATGTATAGGATCTAAATTTTTGAACAAAATTTCTCCTATAATAGACACAAATCAAGTGTTTTCAAAATTTAAAAGAAAATTCAAAGAACACCTAGTTCAGTTGAGAGAGAATTTTACTCACTAGATGAGTTTTAAAATAACTAATGGTCTTAAATTGAACATTTGCCAACAGAAATGATGGGTTTTTTTAATTATTGTACTACTATTAACAGAAATTGTATTAGGTAGTTATAAGGATTAGTTTTAAGAAATGACGCATTTAATGAACTAACGCTATGTACAAACAATGAATAAAGAATGTTTTGACTTGGACTGTGGTCAGAGGGGTAAATAATGTGATGAATATAATATTAAAATGACTTCTTGGACCGAGTATACAATAAAATGCTTATTTCCTACAAAAGACGCTGTAAAATTACTAAAAGTAAAATGTCAAATTGAATACAGTAGACTCCCACTAGTTCGGCTTCAGTTGGATCGGCCGCCGGATGGTCCGGCCCAGTCTCAGGGGGGACAAGTAATATTGTCACGGGCGAATGACCTTCGACAGGATTTAACTTGAATGTTTAGTTTCCAGCCATAGAAGTAAACAATTCATGTCAGTTTAGTTGACGGGCGCTTCTATGGGTGAATTGTTGCATATTACCATTCCTATGTAAAACTATGTTACATAACCTCAAAAATACCAAGAAAATTTTATAAATAGTTTTTTTTCATTCTAATACGTTAAAATGCAGTGTATAATTAAATATTTTAGACTTTTTTTATGTGGTAGGTTCCCCCTTTATTGTTTTTGAAACACCACGGTTAATTTGACAAAAATAAATTGAACTAATAATGGTTAAAAACGTACCTTGTCAGACAATCCTTGACATGTTTTAAAGTGTCGAAAATAAACTTGCTACATGTTTCGGTGGTTATTAAATTCCACCATCGTCAGGCACACAAAAGGATCCACTTCTTGAGGTGTCGTCAGAGTTGTTACATACATTTAACACGAACACAAAACACGAAACGATTAAATAAACGGTATCAGATAGGCCTATCAACTTACGCACGTACATTGCCGCGGGCAGGACTGGAAGTAGACTGAACCAGGTTATGAAGGACTGACGTGGACTCTGAATTGTCGTCTGCATTATCAACAGCTGATATAGGACTATTGTAGTGACGGAGTAGAGTGTTGAAAATATAATGGGATTCATAATTGAGCTTTTCATTCAAAATTTGTGTGCTGTCCCTGGTTTTTAGGTCCTTATATATTTCAAACTCCTCCAAGGTATTTAATAAGTTTCCTTTCCCACAATAATGTAGAATGTCGAGACCGTCATATATATCCAGCATATCATGGTTATTGTCAATAATGTGCTGAGCGAATTTGGATTTCTGCAATTTAAGTGTAGGGGCTGGTCGATGCTCTTTGTATCTTATTTTGAAAGCTCTCTCACTTTGTCCTACATAAGTGCTCGGGCAATCAGCACATTTTATGCGGTATACACCTGTCTTTTCATATTTATCAACATGTGGGCGCTTGCCTTTAGATATGTTCTGCAGCCGATTTGTAGTTTTAAACGCTAGTTTAACACCATGTTTATTGAGATCTTTCTTCAAATAGTTGTTTATTTGGTGGTTGTATTCAACGCAGCAATACACTACTTTGTTATTATCATTATTTGCTGGCATGCGGCATGTATTTTCCTTATAAAAATGAATTATAATAAATTGAAGCAAAACAAAGAAATAGCCATCGTTAGCTTCAAGGTTAAGCTATCCGCTTGCACTGAAAATCATCTGCTCTTTACACAACTGTCTGCTGTCCGCTTGCAGTTTGTACGCGTCGGACATCATGTCGTCAGTTAAGCGTAAGTGCAAAACGTTGACACACGATGAAAAAAGAAGATCAAACTAGTATTTTCCCTTTAAATATTACTCACTACATACTTTTTGTATGTACAGTATTGTACCTCCCCCCCTACCTAGCCTATTCAGTATTTTTGTTGCTACAGTAGCTTGTTTTTACAGTACATATAAAGAGTTTGACTAACATTTGCTTTAAACAGACATTACACAGTAAATGTAGTTCCGTGTATGGATGATATATACTGTATTATTGTTTTCTATTTTGTACAGTATTTAAAACTAAATTTTTTTGTTATTTAACATGTTTTTTATGTACTTTATCAAACTTATTGCCAAATAATAAATACAGTGCTTTATGTGCATTAAAATTGTTTTATTTTGCTTCCAAAGTTACTCTTCAGTACTTATAAATACAGTTTGAGTTCGATTTATAAAGGTTTAACACGTAAAAGACGAGGTATAAAGGCCGTGACGTAACATCACTGTCAGACCCCAACACCTCGGTATCTCGATCTTTTTCATATAGAACCTTCATAACTCGAACCTCACTAACTTGAAAAACTTGATAACTCAAATTTGTATCATAACCCTTCCAGATTCGAGATATTGAGGTCCTACTGTAGTAGCCTATGCTGACTACGGTAGCAGTAGCTTGCAGTACTAGACTTTCTATTGTTCTGTTCTTTACGTGATTAATTGCTATACATACATTGTTGTGTAATCTTTGTTTTGCTGGAGTAAGATTTTAAACGTTACAGTTTTTTAGGGGTGGGCGAGTACTCGACCTTCGAGTAATTACTCGAGTTTTTTCAAATACTCGACCTCGAGTCGAGTAGTAATTACTACTCGAAAATTCGAGTCGAGTAGTGCCAATTCACGATTTTCTACACCCATATTTAATAAATTATATTTTGTTTTGTGTTGATGCCTTATTTAATCCCCATTCCTACAAAAAAACAACTATCTAACCTCATATAGGTTAGACCAGCGTAAACCAAATGTTCAACATACAACCATCGTCATTCGGCAGAGCTAGCAAGAGGACTACTAACAACAGATTTCACTTTCCTACAACAGTCAACCATACATCTCGATAACGAAACAGTAAGTTGAAATAAAGCATTGAATGAATCTATCGAATTGCAATAGTCGATAGTCAACAAGGGAGTCTCGTGACTAGTATAACAATGGCAGACGATTCTTGAAGATGTTATAAAGTACAGTATCATATTTAGTTTGAACTGCCATAAAAATATTTTATACCAAAATATAGAAATAACAAAATATTTTATACCAAAATATAGAAATAACAAAATATTTTATACCAAAATATAGAAATGCAACAAATAAAAATAAGCTATTGTAGCATAATATTTTTTCACATTAATCGGTATTGGTGTTTAGTTTTACAAACCGATAAGTTACTGCAAGGAACATCGATGCATCTGAATGACGCAATCTCATTGGGTCTTGGCAGAAAGAAAAGATCAGTTCCACTTTTAACTCAGTGTTGCCAGATGGACGATAATTTTTGTACTTTTACAACTGTGGTATTGGCGTAAACAAACTATAAGTATAATTTATTTTCTAATCAGTTTACATAAACATGATTAAAATTAGTCAAACTATTAATTTTTTTTTTAGAAATAAAAGCTATAGCAATTTTATGATAATATTACCGACATTCACCATAATGGTGTAATGATAAATATGGCAACGTCAGCCCTGCAAAACAGCTGTTTGATGGGAAAACAAAGCATAAGCAGAATGAGCAGACCAGCAGAATGCCAGCATACTGACTAGAGAGAGAGAGAGAGAGAGAGAGAGAGAGAGCAGATAGATATGGTGACAGCTGGTGTAACAACAAAACAATGGATTGGAGTGGTTGAAGTTTATGTCAATGTCAGTTTTGAATGTTTTTACTTTGAAGTGAATTTGTAACTTAAAATAAAATTGATTTTGTTAGTGGAAGTTTAATAGAAAGTAAAATAAACATTATTCTGTTTGTGATTTTGATTGTGCAATTTTCAATCTGGTGGCAGAAACATGACAACTACAGTTTTAATTAATTGTAACTTAACCTAGAATTTAGAAAATGTGAGTTTATAAAGAAAGGCCAAATAGGCTATACCGGGCTACAGTGAAATGTGTTTTAATTTTAAATTAAGTGTTTAATGTGAGATTTTATTTCGAGATAATAGGCCTACTATGTTTTTGTTTGATATTTTCAGTCTGTCAGAGACGAGTGACTTGTTCATTTTTATAAATGTACTGAGTGAAGAGGATAGCCCTAGTACCCATAACCTTCAAACTTCAGACAGATGAAGTGCTTATCCAAGTGATTACCTAATTGCATATTGATGTTTTTAACTTGTGATACAATAATGTAGTTTGATATAAGTTTTCTGTTGAATAAATAAACTTAATTTTTATAAATTCTGTTTCTTATTTGAATTGAAATTATTCTTAACCTTATTAAGTTAGTTAGTTAGGTTGATTATCATGTTAGTGAGGAGGAATTAAAGGCAAGAAAAAAATCAAACACACAATAACAAGTGATGTGTAGGCCTAAATAATTTAATGCTGCAGCCAACAAGTAGTCTAGGCCAAATTAATAATTTGGCAGGAGGTAGGCCTATTAATAATTAGTAACCATATAACTTAGAAAATTTGGTATAAGTACTTAAACTACCTATTTAGGCCCCGGCAGGGTTTATGCTAGGATGAAATTTGTTTCAGCAAAATGCTGCAAACTCTCTGAAAAGACAAAAACTGAGTTAGGCCTAACTGTAGAAAAAATATTATTCAATAACTTGTAAGCATTTAAAACAAAAAATTCCAGTAGGCTAATATTACATTTGTTTGAACATTACATCTTACAATTTTATTTGTAGAAAATTTGCCATAGGCCTAGCTTGCAAAACAATGTAAACTTAGCATTTTTAAGTTGTGAATAGCAAGATGCTAAAAATACCGCAGCATAAACCCTGGGCCTAGGCCTACTTAACGCGCAACTACTCGACTCGACTCGATACTCGAGTTTTTACTCAAATACTCGACTCGAATTGAAAAAACACTACTCGCCCACCCCTACAGTTTTTATTACTGAACCTAGGTTAATGACTTCACATATCATGATTGCGCAATACTATTATTTGTATTTTGATTATGTAAAATGCAAATGAATTATCAGTCGTTATCTAGCAGTCGATGAGGAAGGACCTTGTTATCAGATAACCCACTCGCTCGCCCGGTCCTGCGTGCCTAGCTACTAACCATTAGACATTTAGAACATTTGCAATTTATTTAACAAAACTTTATTTCGGACATGGCGGAAAAGTGTTATAAGTGCAACGTGGAGTGCGACAAGACTTCGTCCGACGTAATATCGTGCGTGGAGTGCAGTGACGTGTTGCACGTGCAGTGTGCGGGACTTGACCTGAAGAGGAAGACCCGTAATCGTCCGTTCAAGTGTGGCAAGTGTAATAAGGAGACAGCATCAATGTCAAGTGTAAGTGATACCGAAGAATCTACTGTTATTAAAGCAATTAACAGCCTACACACCAAATTTAGTGACACGCTTGATCAGAAACTTTTTGGTTTGGAAGGAAAAATTAATGACTCAATTAGTGGGAAACTTGACAAAATTAATGAACGTATAAATTCGTGGCAAGAAACAATTGCAGCATCGTTAGACGGCCTAAAATCAGAAAACGTCGTTCTGAAACAAGATTGTGATGTACTCAAAACACATTGCGACGACCTGTCTAAACAAGTAGACTCATTGACGGAGCAGCTACAAGACCTACAACAGTACAGCCGGATAGACAACCTGGAGATCGTCGGAGTGCCCTTGACCAAGAATGAAGATGTGTATTCCGTCCTAAAGGCAGTGGCTAACACCATTGGTACGCCCTGGAAGTATGAGGACATTTCAATAGCGCATCGGGTGCCTTCAAGTCGCCAGAGGCATCCTAACATTATTGTCAAATTTACCCGAAGAGTTTCCAAGACGACGTGGCTTCTTGCGGCTAAGGAAATTGACCTAACCGCCAAAATGTTGCATCAGAGCTTCCCCGACACACCAATATTTATCAACGAACATCTCACAGATGCCAAAGAAACTCTAAACTGCGCCAAAAAGCTTGTTAAGGAGAAGAAGCTAGCTTATGCATGGGTCAAAGAAGGCAAGATCTTGGTGAGGAAGACAGCGGATGGGAAACCAGCGCGTGCGAGGAGTCCGGAGGACGTCAAGGCGATAGCGGCTCAACCCACGGCTCAACCACAGCTCAGTCAACGGCTCAGCGAAGGTGGCAATCAGCGCGGCAACAACGGCTCCAACACCGACAAAGTTTCACCGTAAACACTACACAGTTATGTGTTAATTGTGCCCTCAACTAATAAGGTACACAGCTCAGTATTTTTATTTGTTTTTTACCATTTTATAATTTTGTTGTTTCACTGGTAGGTAAATTCTTTCAAATTAATTATATTCATTACTTCATGAGTTCATAAGTCACTTGAATGTAATTTATTTAATCAAGCTATAGATGCAAAACAATTTTTTGTCTGTAAATCGAATATTACGTTTTAAATTTCTAAATAAAAAAAAAAATTAGACCATAAACACTCTTTTTGATTAATGTTGTGCTTAATAACGTCCATTGAAAGAAAATGTTGATTTAGGTAACACAATTCAAGTGAAGATAAAATTACAAAACATTATACACAGTAAATTTGATATTAATGAACTCATATTTTTTCATAAAGTAAAACTCAATTTTTATCACCATAAACAAAATGTAATAATGACCACGACATTAATTATTATTATCATTATTATTTTTTTATTTTCTTTATTATCAGAATGTTGTAAGATTATAAGTTATTTTAATGTAGTAAAAGTATATAGGTCAAATGTCAACATCTCATTTTATATTATTAAAAAACCAAACAATATTGTTAACATTTTGTATGGAACTAACATGATGTAATTTGTAAATATTCTGGCGGAATAAATGCTATTTTGATTTTGATTATCACATCAACAACCATTTTATACAGTATTAGCATTAGGTGTTTTATGGGTATGTAATATGTTTATGCCATGTTGTATTAACCCTGGTTTTCATTTATCCCTGGTCTCCCCCTCCCCCATTACACTGGATAGTTGAGGTTCTACTACATCCGGTTAGTCCGGCCAGTGGTCCGGTCCCAAAGTGGCCGAATTAGAGGGAGTATACTGTAACTATAATGTGATGAAATTGCAAGTCATTTATGGTACATTCTAATACTTATAAATAATTCTCCTGCCGTTAAAACTACAACATTCCTGCAGTACTCAAAAATTTAACATAGCTACAATACATGTTCTGGGTGATGTACCCTGCATTGTTTCATGACTCCGTTAGCAATATTAAATCTGACAAGTGCCTAAGCAGTGGACAAGCTAAGAATTGCAAAAACCGTGATATTACAAAACAAGAATATATTTACCTGAACCCAGGAGATATCAGAATTCCTTTTTCTGGAGGTGGAGGTAGAGGATTTCTGGCTTTTGGAGTAACTACCACATGAGGTATTGAAGCCACTTCTTCGGCTGTATCCTTAAAAATAATTTATAGATGTTAACACATTAACCCCAGATACATGGAAAAAACTGAATAACCATATCATTATTTGTATCTTTGGAGTGATACCAATGCTAAAGTATTTCACAGGTAAGTCTCAATATAACAGACCTAAGGGAACAAGAATCAAAACAAACATTCATCCTATTAATATATGACGATAGCGGCCTATCCACAGCATTTGAGGACTACTAGCTTGGCTTGAATAACATAATCTTAATCTATTAAAAGTATTGAGAAAAACAAGGCAGCTGTATCCTGAATCAAGATGAAAGAATACAAAACATCTAGGAAGAACAGCCCAAATAAAGAAATATTAACACCCATACATAAATATTGGTTAGAAGGGTCAACTTAAATTGACTAGTAAGAATTTTTCATTGGGCTGCATCAATTTTTTATTTACTTGAATAACACTCCGTTACCTCAAAAATACTTTATGGAAGGACATAAAGACAGGGGTGTGTTTTATAACCAATCCATTCAGGAAATTTGGTAAAACTATAAAAATATGGTATCGGTATCGAGAATAATATTGTGTAGGTATCAGCATCGGAAATCGATAAATTCTAGTATCGGCACATCACTAATCAAAAGTATTACGTTCAAGGAACGTAATTTTAATTGTGTTGTGTTTTTTGACATGCTATTAAATAACTATTTAACACTAGATCTTTTGTTGTAAACTCTAGTAACACAGTTCTAATGAGTCTTGTAAATATGACAAATTTTAAATATATACAATTTCTATAAAGCAAAACTATCCATTGGCCTAAAGAATATTTGTTTAATGTTTAAACATCCACTATAGTCCTGGCCACCCTAACTTGAGGCAGCTCAAGGCTGCACGCCGTATATCTAGTGGGGCCTCGAGCTGTCTCAAGTTAGGCTGGCGAGGACTATAACCAAAAATACTAAACATGAATTACTTCAATACATCTGTCTTAAACTATCCCTTGTTAAGGTCGATTCACACATATTAGTCCAGTCACAGTTCCGTTACAGTCCAGTTACAGTTCAGTCTCAGTTGCATCAGCAATTTCTCAGTCGACTGTCCGTCATTTGGTTTCAGTCAGTCTTCCGTCTCTAATATTTACAGTAATTTACAGTCAAAAATTTTAAATTACAAACCTATATTCTATCAAATTATCATTGTCCATCTTGTTGATTGTTACAAACAGTACTCAAAATATAAACACAACCATTTAAATAACAATATCACTATTTTCTAACCTCAAACAGTTCCGTCAGTCGTCCGAACAATCCAAAAATATCGGTGAAAAGAAATCTGAAATTGACTGACGGACGCCTGCAGAGCTACTGACGGAACTGCATCGGGTGAGTGTAGATAGCGCTATATAAAATCCATTAAAGAATATTTTTGTTAACTGTGACGTGTCTGAAGTGACTGGACTGCAACGTGCCGTGACTGATGTGTGTGAATCGACCTTTAATCGGAAGAGGTTGGTTTATGACAGCAATACTTTCTATAGTAATTTACACATACAATTCAAGCCAATAAATTGCTGACGGAAATTTGGAGTTTATTTTGTAAGTTATTACCGGTACTCTGATTGATACCAATAAAAATTGTTAACATTATGTTTACATATTTTAAACATTCAATCAAAGGAATGTTAACACCATGACTACATAATTTTTTAAATCATTATATCATTTTAATAGGTTGCTAAACAAATACATATTCATTAATTTGTCATCCATACACAGAAACTAGTCCAAAAAATACTTTAAATGATATTGAAAAAATTCTTAATTCTAACAACTGTTTGCATATAGAATTTTATAGAAATTAAGAAACATTGCATGAAATTTCATTGCATCATGTGGACCATTAAGGCATTAAGTTACCCCCTTGGGCTAGCTATTTTCCCCCTTTACAAATATATCTGTGTACTAATTCTCTAAACCAAAACTTTGAACAATAATTTACAAAATATCACGAGTTTCATCTTAACAAAACACAAATTATTTTTGGTCTATAGCACAGCCACCTCTAATACAAGGCCGCGGCGAGTGAGAAGCGGCAACGTCGCATCGGTGTCTTGGCGTTCGGTCGTTTTACCATTATAGTGAATGGAGGAGTCGCGTACTCTACGTACATAATCGCGTTTCTACTACCTTTAATCATTAGTAATGACATTGAACTTCTTACTACTGCATGCCAGATAGATGTGATGTGCCTGGATGCAAGAATAATTACGATAGCTCAATTAAAAATGAATAATACATACAGTGTTCTAAGATTCTACTTGATCCGCCGCGTAAGCAACGATTGCTTTCTGCTATTCTTCGATCAAATTATACATTTTAAAAATATTCTCGTTTTTTTGTGAAACATTTTTCACGAATATGAGCTTAGATTAAATTTGTAAAAAAATTTAAGAATAAGACAATGATTCGTGTAAATATAGACGCGAGAAGCAAGTTTTAGGTAGTAATACCGTACTATTTCATTATTTATTTGTCTATCTTATTGATAAATGCTGTTGTTAAGTGATTAAAATAACTTAAATAAATACCACTTCAAAGAAATAAGCCGGTGTTTCTGTTAAGTAGGCCTAGTAAAAAAATATGCACTACACCATCTAACAATAAAAGCATCATAGTCTCCGAAACCAGTCTGAATGTTGATGTGAAAAAAAATTCTATTAATATTGTGGAAAGCCATATGGAGGCATAGCTTCTGAAATCGTTTACAAAATGGCAAACGTTTTTCTTAGTAATTATTCAAAGAAAATTATTTAGTCATTATGCCTTCAAAATGAAAACTTCAAATTTTGTTATCGCTAACTTATGATTTCCTCAGGTAGACTAAAACATAATATTCCTATTAAAAATTAATTTTATTTGAACAAATTGTTAGATGTTAGTCTCTACAAATCTCAAAGTCTCTACAAATATTGAAGTGGCAATAAGTTAGTCCGACTGTATAACCATTCTTGGTATAGCAGCTTTATTTTGTAAAATTTTAGCACAGTCTGTCTAGTAGTTTTTACTATGTTGAATAACACACATATATACAGACACCATGAGATTGTTATATAATAGTGTAGATTATCAAATTAACAAAGGAAATGTTTAAAGTCCATCTATTTCCATATTCATCGAACTTACAATACGATAAATGCAACCAAAAAAATTATTTTTTTTTATTTTTAGGTTTAGACATATTGTGGTATGTTGCAATTGTTCACTAAATAAACAACCTAGATTACAATTTTGTCTATTTTACCATACCTTAAAATCTACTAAAATATGTTATTACGTATTTAAATACTTTCATTCATTGATACAGAGCAGCAATACTCTCATTGATGTTCATAGCCTAGCGCGTGTGAAGACGGACGCAGAGGGGGTGTGATTGCGGCGTTGCCAGTTCGAACGTCGCGGCCTTGTATTAGAGGTGGCTGTGTCTATAGACATTTTGTCCCAAAACAACTGTTTATAAATAATATTCAATACAACTATCATGAACTAAATACGTTGTGTATACACAACTGAAAGAATGTTGATTATTATTGAAGTATACTACATTAAACAATGTTGTACAGGGTGTCTACCAGATATCTCAAATGGAATTCCCGACTTTTTCCCGACTTTTCATTACCATTTTTATATAAATCCCGACCAAACACTCGGTCCATTCTCCATGTTACTACACCTTTTTCCGTCTCGCGGTCACGGTACCTTCGTCAACATATGTTGTCACTTACGACCCAGCGAAATCACTGAAGATCGAAACGTATCACATGCCAAGAAAATCCCGTATTAAATGTAGGGGTGTGTGAAGCAGCAAAACATTTCAACTCAAAGCAACGATTCGATTTAAAAAAATGTTGATGTAACTCGGTTCGAAGCAACATGGATTTTTCTATTCATACTTCTCAGTGGAGTGAAATATCTGTTTTCAATCATACATTAGAAGAACCAGTATTTCTAGAAATATCAGTGAGCTTCTTGCCTATTTCATAATTTTTACTTGCAGCATCATGTTGTTAAGTATGTTACCTATTTTATTTTATTCATTTTATAAATAAAGATATGTTTGGGTGTAAACAAATAAAAACCTTTGTAAGATTTAAATACTGAATCTTTCAATTGGTTTACATTGATAAAATAAGAGGATAGAATCAGAACTACAAGGTATACATAACTTCTTGTATGGCGAAGCAATGTCTCAGTGTATGCCATGTACTTGGATGGCAATAACCTGTATGGCTAAGCAATGTCTCATTGTATGCCATGTACTTGGATGGCAATAACCTGTATGGTCAAGCAATGTCTCAGTGTATGCCATGTACTTGGATGGCAATAACCTGTATGGTCAAGCAATGTCTCAGTGTATGCCATGTACTTGGATGGCAATAACCTGTATGGCTAAGCAATGTCTCAGTGTATGCCATGTACTTGGATGGCAATAACCTGTATGGCTAAGCAATGTCTAAGTGTATATCATGTACTTGGATGGCAATAACCTGTATGGCTAAGCAATGTCTCAGTGTATGCCATGTACTTGGATGGCAATAACCTGTATGGCTAAGCAATGTCTCAGTACTCAGTGTATGCCATGTACTTGGATGGCAATAACCTGTATGGCTAAGCAATGTCTCAGTACTCAGTGTATGCCATGTACTTGGATGGCAATAACCTGTATGGCTAAGCAATGTATCAGTGTGTGCCATGTACTTGGATGGTAATAACTTGTATGGCTAAGCAATGTCTCATCTCAATGAATAGCTTATATAATTAATGTCAATCATTTGAATAATGTCAATAAGTTATATGGATACTGATAGTCAAAGTAACAGTATCAATGTAACAGTCAACTACGTATATGGATACTGATTCAATGACGTATAGACACTGATTCAAAAAGTTATTTGGATAATGATTCAATACCATATATAGATACTGATTCCATAACGTATGGATGCTGATTCAAAAACGTATATTATGGACCCTGAATGCCCATGATTCAAATCGTTATTTTGATCATCACTGAATCGAATTGGAATTCCGATGCATTTTCGTTTCATCCCCCACCCCTCAAATGTAATCCCGTCCCAATGATCAGAAATATAAGATCCAGAACATTTTTTTAAAGTTTTGGGACCCGTTCATCCCTAATTTTGAAAGGTTAGATTATTCCCGACTTTCGGCCGAAATTCATGACTTTTTCACGACTTTTCCCGACCTTTCAAAATCCCCGACTTTTTCCCGAATTTCCCGGAATTCCCGACTGGTAGACACCCTGTTGTAACAGCCAAATATCTAAAACGTAAGAAAGCTTAGAAAGCTGACTAGAGGAAAAGCTATAAAAAAGGTAAAGCTAGCTTACATTAAGAAATACAAAACTACAAAGAATCAAACTAGTCGAAGGTGAAAATTGGAAAAAGGAAAAGAATACTTTGGAAGGGACATTGGTTATTGATATTATTAAAGAACTGATTAAGTACAAAAATTAACTAAACAGGTCTTCCCCAGGAGTGTATCAGACAGTCAAGGTAGTATTAGTATTAAAACATAGTGATGTTACTTTTTAAAACAGGTATTGAGTAACATGGAAAATGAGAATTATTTTTGGCAGAAAATCGAGACAGTAACATAAAAACATTAAAAACAATAGTTGGGATAGACAAGACGGGATATTAAGTTTGTAATGGACTTTCATTTTCTCTCAAAATTTAGCAATGTTTTGACACATTTGGTTTTTATTTTTAATCTTGTGCAACATGATTCTAAAACGTTGTTAGTAAAGGAACTAAAATAAAAAAAATTATTTATAAAAAGACGATGGTTAAAAATACTAGAAAAATTACAAGAAAATCTAAATAAATTAGTTATATAACCATTTGATAGTAAGAAACAAAATAAGGATAAGCGATGGGTATATTTTAATTTAGAGAAAAGACAAAACTTGTATATCCTAACAGCTAACATATCTAACTGTAATCTGAGATGGCATCAATTTAGTGATGTACTGAGATCTTGAAATTGAGGCAATATCATAGTTTGGTTACTTAAGACAATCTTGGCAACACAACAATACACCCCGCGATCATGTTGATATAGCGGTTTAAATAGTTTTCCATGGCTGATGTAATATTCAGCCTATTTCCACAAGTTTGACAGTACTACTACCAAATCCTTCGCACATATAATTACTTGTCTGACTCTCCAGCACCTGACTCGATTATTTAGCAATCGTAAAAACAATTTCAGTCCCGATAATCCAGATATTGATGACATTTAATCCTGCAAGTACGTCAGGAATAAAGGTTTCCCGACAAATGACCCATATTGGTCTTGATAATACCAAAACGTAACCATTAACCCCTTCTGTTTTGGACTATGGCAAAAAAGAGCAAAACTTTCTCAATGCCACTAACGTCATAAAACCAAAGTGAAAACCTTTTAGTGCCACGAGAAAAACCCACAACGGCCAAATCAGTTCTTGATGAAACAAAAAATAAAGGACCTTGAGATGAAAAGGACATTAAAGGATTTGGATGTTAAAAGTCTACACATACCTCTGCTTCCAATTTGGCCTGTTGTGTCTCCAATTCAGATACTGTAGGATACGTATCCTTAAGCAAGAGAGCTTTCTAAAACCAAAATCATAGTTTACTTCACAGCCATTTTCTTGGGCTTTAGGATTAGAGGCTTCACTCTAAATCTTCACCTTTCACAATAAGTTTAGTTGGATTTAATTTACAAGGATATTAGTCAAGTATACAGTTTAAGGTGCCCTGCAGTGCAGGGTTTACCTCAAGGATCTATTTAAACTTACCATCAAACTAACAGATGAAATGAGATTATAGTATTAGTATCATAAATAAATAGGGGTCTGCGGTGCACCGAAAAAGTCGGTACGGTACGGTACAAGCTTAATTACCATCATCGGTTCGGTACAGCATTTTACACGGTACAAATTCGGTTCGGTACAGCCTATTATAATAATAAATTAAATTACTTTCAGTTACTATCGTAGTCAACGACAGCTGGTTCCGAGCACATAAAAGTCTTATCAGATGTATGTTTACGATCTTCATAATTTATTACTAGGGTGATGATGCAATAAAACCCCATTAGCAGTCCCAAGTCCATTAACATTTTATCACGACAATAATTGTTGTATTCAAGTACTTCCAAGAACTGTTGAGTTTTATCACTTTTATTTCTTTACGACTTCCCCCAATTCTATTTTATCATAAAAATAATAGTTTTATGATGACTGTTAAATGTTATCTCGAACTCAGTCAGTATTTTCGTGAATATTAAATTTGCCGCTGGCCATTGCCTACTGCCATAAAACTGTTTATGGCTACATATTAAACTTCTAATCTACAATCTTATTTTATAAGTTAAAATATTTGTTATAGATATTTTATCTTTCTATTGACGAAACCACAAGCATAGTTGTTGTTGTTGTTTGCATAATTTTTTTTCGTTATTCAAGCCTACGCCTACTGTCAGCCCAATGTCAAGTCACGCTTGTCAATGAATACACAAACTATATAGTTTGTGTATTCATTGCGCTTGTGCAATAGTTTGTTTACAAGCTTTCTCCAGACCACGGGGGAGGGGAGGCTCTGATAAGCCGTCTATTGTTCACCCCCAAGAAGGTCCGACCCTCATTAGTGCCGCTCGGCTGCACTCAGTGGGGAACCCAATACCACAAATCAATCTTTTAAATGAATACAAATATTTGGTAATAATTGTTTTATTAATATTCACCTTGAAATTTCAATAAATTTGGTGTAAAATTTGACAAAAATCGGCCATTTTGACCGATTATTAATACAGTACCAAATACCAATAAAGTAGTACATTCATTGTTAATTAAATAATAGGTAAAAATTAACCAATTTTCGTCAAGTTTTACCCCCCTGCTGTGCGCTATGTCACAAAAGCTGATAACGACATGGGTGATTAGTAACCATGGCAACTTGTTGAATGCGTATGAAGGGAAACCCAAGAAATAGAAGAACAAAGAGAAAGAATGACGTTGTTATCTTTATACCCTTTTTACAATTTCCGTTATTGTTATCTTTGTGTAAGATTTTATGATTTTGTTTTATAGGTTTATAAAATAATTCTTTTTAACCACGGGAATATCAATTTATAATTTATCAACGTGCTTCTCTTCTGAAACAGAAATACCGGATGCATAATAAAGGTCAATGACCTAAAATATCACGATTGTGCAATATTGTATTTTGATGTTGACAAAAGTTTGTATATATCCATGGTCCCTATAGTTTAAAGGCCTTTTCACACCGGCATACTGGACGTACTGTACGTTTGGTACGTTTTTTATTCAACAAATCGCTGCCCATGTTATCATATGAGCTCGTTCACACCGCACGTACAGAACGTACAGTACGTCCAGTACGTACGCGATGGTTTTGTGTGAATCGCTCAGAGAGCGATTTTTCTAAAACGTACGTGGCGTACATGGGCTCGCGCATGCGCAGTGAACACTTCAAAACCACGTGCTCAGCCAGTGTTACTTGTCTGACTGCAAACGAACAAGTGTACGTCTTGGAAGTTTCTGTGCGGTGTGAAAGGACCGCGTACAGTACGTCCAGTACGCCGGTGTGAAAAGGCCTTAATCATTTAATATGTACACAATCAATGCTAAATAATCGTGGTTAGTTCTAACTTTATCTTTCATTATTCAAAGTTTCTACACAGTAAGACAATCCAAAGTCAAACCGGGCAATGAATACCCAAAAAACAACTATCTTGTCCTGTGATTGCTGATTGGAATACCACTCGCCGGCCAGTCCTTTAGGTTTAGGGAAGTGGTGCAAGTCTATATATAGCTTCAAGGTCTTACCCACCCCTTCCCCCTCCGGTCCTACTTAACTCACTACCCGCGCTCCTTTCGAGGTCATTGCCCAACCCCTCCCACCCTTCTATTGTGTTGCCTCAGCTCCAAAACTAGTTATAAGCTTATAACTAGTTTTGGAGCTGATAAAAAAAAGATGCTCTTTGCCATTACTTCATCATATCCTCCAGTTGTTCATTGTTCTCTGCTGTGAACAGCTGGCAACTACACTGTCTTTGTACTGAATGCTTTTATATGTTTTAAAAATCTAAAAAACAGCTAGACATTGTGTTGGTTGGAAATAATTTACCAGTTGTGTGAAATTATCTTGCCAATAAATTTTCAAACATGTTTATTCCTAAAATCTATTACCCTATTTTTAAAACCACTTTTATCATGGCTATTCAAAGTATCTCAGAGTAAAATAGGTAAAGCCTTTATCTTAACTGTGATTTTTCTTGACACAATCCTCGTAGTAGTAAAAGGTTTTGTTTTAATAATGTGTGGTACAGTAATTGTTGTTAGAATACCAGGAAAGTAGGATACTATCAATTTTCATAGTAATGTCAATGTATTAAAGTTAAAAATAATGGTTTAAATACACTTCTGAGCAGAAAACCGCAAAAATACGGGTAGCCGCGTACCGTACCGATTTTGTACCGAGAACTGAGGTACAAAATATTGTACCGTACCGAACCGTACCGACCTTAAATTTTCTGTACCGCAGACCCCTATATTATAAATAAATACTAATCTAATATATAATATTCTGGTTCAATTTGGTTTGATTCACTGTCTATATCCAGCCTGTTTACTCATATTTTCAATTTGGTGGACAATTAAATATTTTTTGAGACTGCATATTCTGAGACTAGGACCTACAATCCATTTATATGTCTACATTAAACATCTCCAAGACAAATCGCTATCTTTTTCACCTAAGAGGTTAAAACTGTGAGGTAAAAATAGCAGTGATAGCAAAATAATGTTTAAGGAGATTGTTAGACGGTACTAGGATATTGTTAGTTGACACAGCATTGGATACGCTCACAACAAAAATTAAAAACTGACCACAAGTAAAGATTGAAGCACAGTTAAAACATTTGAATATAATGAAAGATCATATCATATAAAGCAACATTCAGTATTAGTCACAATCACATAGTTAGTTCTCAATATACATTTTGTATTTTGCACTTCACAATTCACATTCATTCAGATTCTATGACTAGCCAGACATTACCAATGTTTCTCAAGCTTAATTCTAATTGAATGTTGTTTACTGGCTATTCCACTGGTATAAGAACTTACCCTTAACATCTGTTTCTGTATTTTTTGTTGTCGCTTTAATTCCTTCTCCTTCTTTCTCTTTTCCTTTTCCATCCTCCTCAGTGCTGAATCTACAAAAAGCAAGTCTTATGAACAATATTCTAATAAAAGTACATTTTTTAAACATACTACAATGTCTGAGAACTGCTGCTGTGTAGTACAACATTTCAATGGCAATATAGTATACCAATATCTAATAGTCTTACAGAACAAAAACAAAAAAACAAAAAATTAAACAATTAAAGAAACGTGTCAATTTGTTATGCTCGTCACCTTTTGTTTCCCATTTCCCAAGATTTCATAAGCTTTAAGTGCATTTGCAGGATATCAATACTATGGACCTGGAAAAAAATTGAAAGAAACTGCTATATGCAGTACTGTATTTGTCACGGTTAACCTGGCGGTTCGGATAATCGGATTTTGGATAATCACATTTAGCGTCTTCAGGCGTTCTTTGCAAAATCTGTAGCAATAATCATACAGTACAGTAGCCGACTGTATTACGATGAGTTTTAACTTTTTTTAGACGCTCCCGTTGGTATTAGCATTGACTATTAGATAGGGGTGTGCGATGCAGCATATTTTTTTTCGATTTGATGCATCGATGCGATTCAAAGAGTTTCGATTCGAATCAATGCGATTTGATTCGATGCAGCACGGCATGATTTTCTTTATGACCTGTATTAAATAAAATAGAGTTTATTTTATGATGTAGTATTGTTACTTAATTTTCACATTTATATTTGTTGGCTTTCAATACTTCTGGTTCATTCTTAAATCAGCACGAACCAAAAAAGTTGATAATCAGTGTTTACTGTCTATTTGATACATTATTGCATGCTCAGGGTGTCTACCAGATTTCTCAAATGGAATTCCCGACTTTTTCCCGACTTTTCATTACCATTTTTATATAAATCCCGACCAAAAACTCGGTCCATTCTCCATGTTACTACACCTTTTTCCGTCTCGCGGTCACGGTACCTTCGTCAACATATGTTGTCACTTATGATCCAGCGAAATCACTAACGATCGAAACGTATCACATGCCAAGAAAATCCCGTATTAAATGTAGGGGTGTGTGAAGCAGCAAAACATTTCAACTCAAAGCAACGATTCGATTTAAAAAAATGTTGATGTAACTCGATTCGAAGCAACATGGAATTTTTCTATTCATACTTCTCAGTGGAGTGAAATATCTGTTTTCCATCATACATTGGAAGAACCAGTATTTCTGGAAATATCAGTGAGCTTCTTGCCTATTTCATAATTTTTACTTGCAGCATCATGTTGTTAAGTATGTTACCTATTTTATTTTATTCATTTTATAAATAAAGATATGTTTGGGTGTAAACAAATAAAAACCTTTGTAAGATTTAAATACTGAATCTTTCAATTGGTTTACATTGATAAAATAAGAGGATAGAATCAGAACTACAAGGTATACATAACTTCTTGTATGGCGAAGCAATGTCTCAGTGTATGCCATGTACTTGGATGGCAATAACCTGTATGGTCAAGCAATGTCTCAGTGTATGCCATGTACTTGGATGGCAATAACCTGTATGGTAAAGCAATGTCTCAGTGTATGCCATGTACTTGGATGGTAATAACTTGTATGGCTAAGCAATGTCTCAGTGTATGCCATGTACTTGGATGGTAATAACTTGTATGGCTAAGCAATGTCTCAGTGTATGCCATGTACTTGGATGGCAATAACCTGTATGGCTAAGCAATGTCTCAGTGTATTCCATGTACTTGGATGGTAATAACCTGTATGGCTAAGCAATGTCTCAGTGTATGCCATGTACTTGGATGGCAATAACCTGTATGGTCAAGCAATGTGTCAGTGTATGCCATGTACTTGGATGGCAATAACCTGTATGGTGAAGCAATGTCTCAGTGTATGCCATGTACTTGGATGGCAATAACCTGTATGGCTAAGCAATGTCTCGGTTTATGCCATGTACTTGGATGGCAATAACCTGTATGGCTAAGCAATGTCTCAGTGTATGCCATGTACTTGGATGGCAATAACCTGTATGGCTAAGCAATGTCTCAGTGTATGCCATGTACTTGGATGGCAATAACCTGTATGGTCAAGCAATGTCTCAGTGTATGCCATGTACTTGGATGGCAATAACCTGTATGGTGAAGCAATGTCTCAGTGTATGCCATGTACTTGGATGGCAATAACCTGTATGGCTAAGCAATGTCTCAGTGTATGCCATGTACTTGGATGGCAATAACCTGTATGGCTAAGCAATGTCTCAGTGTATGCCATGTACTTGGATGGCAATAACCTGTATGGCTAAGCAATGTCTCAGTGTATGCCATGTACTTGGATGGCAATAACCTGTATGGCTAAGCAATGTCTCAGTGTATGCCATGTACTTGGATGGCAATAACCTGTATGGCTAAGCAATGTCTCATCTCAATGAATAGCTTATATAATTAATGTCAATCATTTGAATAATGTCAATAAGTTATATGGATACTGATAGTCAAAGTAACAGTATCAATGTAACAGTCAACTACGTATATGGATACTGATTCAATGACATATAGACACTGATTCAAAAAGTTATTTGGATAATGATTCAATAACGTATATGGATACTGATTCAATACCGTATATAGATACTGATTCCATAAGGTATGGATGCTGATTCAAAAACGTAAATTATGGACACTGAATGCCCATGATTCAAATCGTTATTTTGATCATCACTGAATCGAATTGGAAATTCCATGCATTTTCGTTTCATCCCCCACCCCTCAAATGTAATCCCGTCCCAATGATCAGGAATATAAGATCCAGAACATTTTTTTAAAGTTTTGGGACCCGTTCATCCCTAATTTTGAAAGGTTAGATTATTCCCGACTTTCGGCCAAAATTCATGACTTTTTCACGACTTTTCCCGACCTTTCAAAATCCCCGACTTTTTCCCGAATTTCCCGGAATTCCCGACTGGTAGACACCCTGATGCTATGAATAAATAGATCTGAAATTAAAAATAAAGATTGAGATTAATAAAAGTGCGTGTAAACTAAAAAGTTCAAAGAGATCAGTGAGGCCTACCAAAAAGATAATAGTTATTAATTAGAACTTAAATAATATATAATGTCATTTTCTCACTATTTATATCTTCAACATTTGTTAAACTATGAAAATAAGTCACTAAGTCTAGCTGAAAACACATTAATAAATTACAATATCTTTTCAATACAGAATAATAAAACAAACCACATTTTACAAACATTTTATTTCTTAACTTTTTCCCTTGTACAGGGTGAGGAGGCCAACACTTTTTTAATGACTATCAACAAAAATGAGGTATCAATTATAATTTCACGTAAGCCGCTGATGAGTGAGCTGTGAAGAGCAGACGACAGAATTACGTCACTACAGCAACTCAACTCTACTGCGATTGCGAACTGCGGGTGTTTAGTGTGAAGTGAAGCACCCCCTCCCCTGTCTAACGGGACAAGGGGTATGAAAAGAGAAAGTTTGTCAGAATGGCAGACTTGCCCTTTGTAAAGTCTGGTTCACATGCCCTCCCTCACCCTCAGTCGCTTGCATAATTCTGCAGTGTTAATTTTCAAATGTTTGAATTCAATGACTAAAGCATAGATCTGATAAACTTTACTCTAATTTATAAATCGGCTTATCAGTATTTTATCAGCCATTTGTCAGTTTTTTTTTTCTTTACTTTTATATGTAAAGATATCTTTTAATTTAGCCTTCAAGAAAAGAAAGATTATGTTTTGTTTGGGACTTAAATCTCCTTGATAAAAGAGAAAAGACTGCACGTTTGATACAATTAATTTCAATAAGTTAATGTGCAACTATGCGACAATGTTTTCTAAAAAAAATAACAGCCTACAGTGTAAAAGAATCGTCTGCACTGTGCAGCAAAATATGTTTCTTCGGGTGCTTTTAACAAACATTCCATTGTTTTAATTAGTAACAAATGTGTTTATGTTTCTGATGATACCAAGAACAAGGCTGGGCAGAGTGGATTCACTGTGAACCAGCCGGGTACGACACGTAACTACAACCATAGATAAAACATAGCCTACTCCCTTGTGTTGGTTAGTCTATGCTACAACGATCGATTGGAACAATTGATGTTTTGAGCCAAAATATTCATATTGATATATAACCGGAAAAATTGATGTTTTATTAAAATATTATATAAAGCCATGTGTCAAGATTTAGTTAACTGACATGATTGAACGTCAAATCTAGGTCTTTGTAAGACAAGAGAAAATCACACCGTTTTAAACTTTAACCTAATTTTATACTCTTTGTCTTTATAAACAAACGCGCCCTACATAACGGTTCTTGATATTTATCAATGTATCTTACCTAAACCCTTCCCACAATAATAGACTCACACCCAAATAACGACATCAAAGCAATCGTCACTTGCTCCATTGAAACACGAACGTCAATTGGCTGACATGACAGTGCAGCGTGGCCTCTCGACCAATGAGAACTCTTGTTACACACTTTGATTTATCTTAGATAGTCAACATTTACCATTCATTATAATATTACAAAATCGACATGGACTATGCGTATGGTGTTTTTCAATCAATACTTATGTTATAGTAGCACTTAAAACTTCACTTAAACTTTTAAACTAGGTAGATAGTACAGATATAATATGGATCTACTTTTTGGTGCCATAGGCAAGTGCAAGCCTAACCCTCTGACTTTGAGGATGTTGTAATTGAATCGAATTTTTCTAATGATTCGTAATGCAGGGATGAAACTGAACATTTAGACAAGTTTAGGTTATTTATTTTGTTCTAAAAATAAAAATAATACATTTAAAGGTCTGACTTATTGATACAGACATTTTTACTATAATTTCGTGTTGGCAGGACACACACGCGCCGGTTGTCTGAGACTGAATTCTGACTGTCTGACATCTTGAAATGTAAATTGTATTTATTGTGTTGTGCAATATCATCTGCCTGAAGAGAGAACAGCTGAAGCTAAACTTTAGCTGTTTTGGTGTTTAGTGTTCTAAGTTGGTTACTAAAGTTGTTAGTGTGATTACAAAACTAATAGATATCAAATAAATAAATGTTAAAATAAAATATCTATCCATCCCTGTCGGGTGTCGGTATCGGCGGAATCGGGTGAAATCGACGTTTGGCAATCGATTCATGATACCGATATTCCTAGTATCGGCAATGTCCGAGTATCGGTGGTAGCGATAATTGACACTTCCCTATCTAAAACTCATTTTGGAGTCCTAAATTGGTTTTTAATATGCATCGGGACGTAATCGTTGCATCGGGACTTAATCGTTGCATCGGGACTTAACCGATGCATCGGTCTTTTTCGATGCATCAAGGCCAAATCGATGCATCGTGATTTCGATGCATGCTGAATCGAATCTCAATTCGATGCATGCTGAATCGAATCTCAATTCGATGCATCAAATCGAATTGAAATTTTGATGCATCGCACACACCTACTACTAGATACTGAAGTAGACATCCCATTTATATGAACCAGCTGTAGCCAATTAAAAAAAAGAACGTAGTTGTGTGAGCCAGTCACAGAATGCGCTAGTGATTAAAACTCTATTTTTGACCTTATTTTTTTATTGCTGGCCAAGTTGATGGGTCCTAATAGTTGCTATAGCTCAATAAGTCATTCCATTAGTTTGAATTGTTAAAAAATATTGTGTATTCGACAGAAATCAGTAATTTAGATCAGCACAATCTGTCGGTGGCTTACATCAACTACGATGATTTTGGTTTAAAAACTGGCTACACAAATTTAACCCATTCCCGCCTAAAGACGGGCGGCGCCCGTCCTAGCGCGCCAGGTTACGAAAGACTAAAGACGGGCAGCGCCCGTCCTCACGCATAATGCATTATTATATTTTGTTCTCATGATTAAAAACGATCAATAACCATCCACTATGTTTTATTCACTACTATACTTTGTTTTTATACTCTATGCGTTGTCTGCTGGTAGCCTGTAATGTTTTTTTTGTTGTATTATTGATTTGTTGTCATGACGTTGTATTCTAACCTTAGTTGTGCAACAGCGGTTCGTTTTGTTGTTGCTATGGCGTTTCGTCGCGATGATTTATTCTTACAAAGTGATCGTTTTGCTCAGTTTGTTGATGATATTTTAGCGGAAAGTGGTTGTGAAGTGAGTGGTGATGAAGAGGACGAACGAATTATCAGTGATGAAGACGTAAGTGTTCCAAGTGTGTCTAGTCTACCAAGTTGTAGTTCGGCTAACCTAGCAACCTTGAATCCTACTCTTGATGAATATGACGTTGATTTACCGAATGTTGAAGAAAGTGACAATGTAAATATTGAAAATAATGTAAATATTCCAAATAATGTAAATATTGAAAATCGAGCTCTGAATCCTGGTCGTAATAGGCGTAGACCTAGGCGTGAACCTATTCGCAGACGTAACCGTGTGAACCGTAATGAACCCGTTCGTAGGCCTAGGCCTCGAAAACGCATAACAAAACCAAAGCCCTGGGACTGGTTTGAGGGTGAAAATGAGGTAGAAAATATTCCTTTTACCGGGAAACACGGGATAAATCCTGTTATATCTAGACAACTGACAGACAAGAGCAATGAACTGGATGTGCTAGATCAGTTTTTGGGAAATAATTTTTGGGAACAGGTATGTGACGAAACAAACAGGAATGCTCACAAATACCTAGATGAGGGCATGCCTAATGTGAAATGGGTAGATTTGACCATTGATGAACTAAAAGCCTATTTTGCTTTAGTGGTACTCATGGCACAAAATGTGAAAGCTAATATCCATGACAACTGGTCGACGAGAAGGGTTTTGCATCAACCTATTTTTGGCGAAACGATGTCACGAGACCGATTCAAAACTATCTCTCGTTTTTTGCATTTCTCATCTTCTGTGGACCCTAATGACAAACTAAGAAAAATTAGGCCTATTATTGAGAAGTTGATTGCATCCTATAAGAAAGTATTTACTCCTCAGAAAGAAATTTGTGTTGATGAAAGCCTAATAAAATTTCGAGGCAGACTGAGCTATATACAGTTCAACCCATCAAAACGAGCCAGGTTTGGTATAAAGATATACAAGTTGAATGACTCTAAAACTGGCTATTGTTACGACTTCAAAATTTATACTGGCAAAGAGACAGATATACAGCCCCAAGAAGAAAATGAGGAGAATGTAGATGATCCTGAAAATGGAGAAAATCTTGAGGTTGGCGAAAATCTGACAGAAAATGCTGCAACCCCGGAGAAATCTTTTTTACTTAGTGAAAAAATTGTATTAGAAATTTGTACAGATCTGTTGGATGAAGGCCGGGTTTTATACTTAGACAACTGGTATAGTTCACCTAAACTCTTTTTAGAGCTTTTGAACAGGCATACGTACGCTGTAGGAGTTGTGAGGTCTGATAGAACAAACTTTCCAAAAGAAATAAAAAACAGACAGCTCCAATTAGGTGAACTTACCTTTTTGCACACTAAGAAAATCTTAGCCCTAAAGTGGAAGGACAGAAAGGATGTAGCCATGCTATCAACCATCCATACCCGACCGGAATATGAGGAAGTCATTCCACAACGAGAGAGAAGACGTCCAAATCCTCAACCACAACTCAAACCAAATGTTGTGATAAACTACAATAACAATATGAACGGTGTGGACAAACAAGACCAACGACTCTCATGCTTCCCGGTGATGCGCAAGTGCATGAAAGGGTACAAGAAATTGTTTTTTTATCTTTTCGATGTTACATTGAACAATGCCCGAGTGATTCATGAGATTGTAACAAAGAAAAAGTCTATGTCAAAATTTAGGATAAATTTGGCTGAACAGATTTTGGAAAGTGTCAATCTAACTAACAGACCAGTAGGAGGAAGGCCATTGGTTGCAGCTGAATCACCACTGCGGTTACAGGCCAGGCATTGGGGTCATTTTATAAGGAAGATTTTGCCCACTTCTAAGCAAAGGCCTTCAAGGAAGTGTAGAGTGTGTAGTGCTCAAGGCAGGAGAAGGGAAACCGTTTACGAGTGCAGGAAGTGCCTTGTGCCTCTGCACTTAGAAACATGTTTCGAGGTGTTTCACACCCAAACAAACTTTTGAAACCCAGAAAAAAGTTGTAAATAGAGTGTAAATAGTGTGTAAATAGTGTAAAACTGTATATAATATTGTGGCAGAGAGGTCTGGAGCTCACAAATAAGCAAAAAAAGTAAGTGATCAATCTTATATTTATTATATTAGGCTATAAGGTTTTCTTGAGTATTCGAGTATGAAATAAGACGAATCACGTTTTTGGTTATAATATGCTTGGTAATTGTCCGGTGGTAAGAATAATTATAATATAATCATATTGAGAATGAAAACCCCAACACTTTGAGTACCCACAAAGATATTTGGAACGAAACTTGTTTTCCTTGAAATTTCCTAAAATTTCCCTGAAATTCCGGGGAATTTCCCTAAAATTCCGGGAAATTTCCCTGAAATTCCCTAAAATTTCCCTGACAACTAATTTTACCCATTTTATAGTTAAAAATTAATATAATCATGCTAAGAATATAATTTACCATTTATTTCAATACTCACAACACCATAACTTAGTACACATGCAATTTTTGTGAAAAGCTTCTATTAGGCCTATTCAGGCCTATTTTGTTGTTTGCAGAGTTTTACAAAAATAGCTATAAAATGAAGGATTTTATATATAAACAAACCAAATAAAGTTTTTTATGTAAGGAATTGAATACTATTTATGAATTTGGCCAAGAAATTGATTGAAAAAAAAATTAAAAATACTTTTTTTAGGTATGCTTTCATAAAATATATTTTTTTATAAATATATATAAAATCCATATATATTTTTAAAATTGCGATAAAATTTTTTTGATTGGAAATTAGTGTCACATAAAAGGAAATTTTATGGAGATCAATTTAAACACAAGTGTTAGCCATTTATTTCATAAATTACAATTTTTATGGATTTTTTACTAAAACACTGCCCATTGGCCCATTTTAACTCAGTTCTAACTGCATGCTACTAGACAAATAACTCAGTCAGGAATGGGTTAACATGGGGGTGGAATGTCTAGTTGTATTAATAGTCAAAGGTATTAGCTAACGTGTGTTTTGACGAAACCGCTCGCAATAATGGCAAAATTTACGAATATTTGCTCGACTCTCGATAGTCCAGATTTTTCGTAATCCGGACATCCGCCACATTAGTCTGGATGAGCGAGAGTCTACTGTGTAAGTAAAAATGAAAAATACAAATAAGCTGATTAATGAACAAGTAAATTTCTACTCCAGTTTTACTTATAGAAATGTATTGGCCGGTAGCCAATAGGATATAAGTAGGGACACAATTCAAGATTCTTTTCATTTTGTTGCCTATTTGAAATTGATCACCGCTTACCATTTTTTATGTATATTTACCTTCCTGTGGGTAACAGTAAAAGCGTAAATTTAAGTTCTAAGTATTATTAGATGTATTTTACATTTACTTAAAATAAACAATAAACAAAATTTTAATAACTGATTGTTTAAATTTGTGAAATGATATTTTAAATTTCTGGGGTCTTAACACAAAAAGTACAGTGGTCCAGGACCCTAGGTTTTACCATGGATAATTGCTACTTCAACCACCAAGAAATTTGCTAAAGTGAATATTCTGTAAACTTACCATCCACTTTAATGTTCTTCTTCGCCACAGGAAGTGGTAGCAGAAGTGGGCTGGTTACTGGAGCTACAGCAGGGGCTGGTGGTGGTGGCGGAGAGGGGGATACAGGAGGAAGGGGCAGTGATAGGGGACCAACTGGTGTACTTGGGGTATTGGGAACCACCTGTAACACGTTGCCAACTTGTAGTACTGTAGGTTTGCTTGGACTTTGAGCAACCTAAAACAAAAGACACGTTTAGTACCGGCATTTATACTATTTAGAATTTAATCTAGTTCAAACTGAAAATAAAGGTTCAATGGTAAAATCTTAAGTTAGTGATGAAAGTTGTAGACGGCTCTTTTCAAGCATTGTAAAATACGCAAGCAAATACAGTACGTTGCTGGGTGTTATACCCTTCTAAATATGTCTTAAATCTATATTGAAACAAAATGGCACTTAAAATCAGGTTGTCTTAAAATCACACTTAATTTCCAGTTTTCCCAAAATTTCCTGTCTGTAAACCTTGCTTTATATTTTATAAAATGCTATATAACTAGTATTACATTTATTATGACAGTTTAAAATTATTTTACTTAATCTTCTCCACCCAACAACCTACATTGGGTGTACTTGTGTTAATGATAAAGATGTTCTGTTCAATCAAAATTGTGGCTTTTCCATTTTGAAGTGCTACATTTTTATATGATTCAAATTATTTGACAGTGTAAATTGTAAGCCTATTACATTATTGTTCACAGATAAAGGAACAATATTCAAATTTCTGCCACCTTTTACATTTTGAAATATCAACATTTATTAGCAATACTGAAATAATCTAAATGGAATAAAGAAGACAAAATACTACGATACCTTAGACTGTAGGACAGTTGGAAAGCCAGGAGGAGGATGGTGCAGAAGTAAAGATAGGAGTGGTGGTAGTGGAGAAGGAGGTGATAGGTTGCAATAGGGGCGAGAGACTTGGCTTTTGGACTTACGTTGAACCCCACTTTGAGGGGTTTTAAACTGAAACTTGTAAAGATAAATGTATTGTAATGAAATATGTAAAGATTCCCCATGTACATAGAATACAGAAGACCTTGCTTAAAGTATGAAGATTAGCAGCCAAAAATTTAACACCTATTATAAAAATAATAATTGTATATAACACGTTATGTAACTTTATTCGTCTTCAGTCATATAAACACTGTAGTAGGCTAGAGATTACTAGTTTCAAGTTATAAGACCCATCTTATTTCCAACATCAAATTAGTCCATGAAACTCGACAGTTGTCTTCATCAATAAATAAACGCAAGTCCACAAATAAAGTTTACCAAAAACGTTTTAATAAACAGTAGGCTGGCCACATTAAGTTACAAGATGTTGCAGGCTGCACGGCAGAACGCAGCCTGCGTCGGATTATCCCACGTGTGTTTACTTATTGATGAAGACTTAGGATTTAATGGACTAATTTGATGTTGAATTTGAGAATGGGTCTCATGACCTGAAAACTAGTGATCCCCAAACTACTACAGTATTTATAAGATTGAAGACGGACAAAGGTATGTAACCTAGTATAGGTATATTCTTACAATGAGACTTGGTGGCAAGAATGTTTAAACAATAATTAAACATGATAAACGGGATATGGAAGATAAAGGTGATACCTCAGAGTGTAGAAAAGCCAGAGGGCCAGGAGGAGGTTTAGAAACAAACTGGTTGCGATCGGAGCAGAGGACATGGCTTCTGGACTTGCGCAGTGTTAGTGGAGACAAAGGAGGAGGTGGAGGTAAAGGTGGTGGTATTGTTGGTGGAGGTAAAGGTGGTGGTATTGTTGGTGGAGGTAAAGGTGGTGGTGTTGTTGGTGGAGGTAAAGGTGGTGGTGTTGTTAGTGGAGAGAAAGGAGGAAGTGGTGGTGTTGTTAGTGGAGAGGATGGAGGAGGTAAAGGTGGTGGTGTTGTTAGTGGAGAGTAAGGAGGAGGAGGTGGTGGTGTTGTTAGTGGAAAGTAATGAGGAGGTAAAGGTGGTGGTGTTGTTAGTGGAGAGTAAGGAGGAGGAGGAGGGGAAGGTGGTGGTGTTGTTAGTTGAAAGTAAGGAGGAGGTGGTGGTGTTGTTAGTGGAGAGTAAGGAAGAGGTAAATGTGGTGGTTTTGTTAGTGGAGAGGAAGGAGGAGGTAATGGTAGGGTTGTTTGTGGAGAGAAAGGAGGTGGTGGTGGTGGTGTTGTTAGTAGAGAGTAAGGAGGAGGTAAAGGAGGTGGTGTTGATGGTGAGGAGGAAGAAGCTGGTAGATTGCAATTGGAGCGGGAAGAACAGCTTCTGGACGTAGGTCGAACAGGACAGTGAGGAATTTTAAACTAAAAATTGTAAAAAAACAAAATTACAAAAAAAAAACACATACCATATACAATGTTAAAAATATAGAAGTTTAAGCAGCAACAATCGCGTAAAGATAGTGTTAACGAGACGAGTAGAAAAGCTGAGTGCCTTAAAAACTTCTACGAGTGTCGTTAAGACTATTTAAACACGAATTGTGTCTCATTCAATTAGGACCAATAAGGACACTACTTTACCAACGACAGTTGTTTTATTACTAACAATCAATATTCATAACTAAGAGAGGTAATGTTTTAGTTTATAACCTCTCATGCATCTGACAGTGATGCAATGAATCATTGTACCAAACACTGATTGCACATATCATTAACAATTAAATTGTTCTCAACAGCTGATTAGTTGAAGTCCAAAGAATTACAATTTTACTTCTTTTCCCTAAATCCTAGAACCTCATTGGTCTGTTAACTCAAGTTGTTAAGTACTAACAATCCTGTTAAGTGAATATTTTCAATTCTAAGAACTGAACTGAAACGGCTAGTTAAAAAACGGACGTAGGTTAAAAATATAAAGATACATGTTTTAATCTTGCATTTTTATTGGCAGCATAATCTGGTTTTCCTGGTCATGGCTCTGGTCGCCAAGTTCACCTTTTTACCAGGGTTCTGCAGGATGGATCGTTACAACAGTTGGCCTGGGGGATCGATTGGTTCTGTCCAAAAAGATTATCAGGAAAAGCTCGGATGTAGTGGAGCCCAGCTGAGCGTATATTTCTGCGATTGCAGAAAATATTTGCAAAGATGTGTAATAGAAAATTAGCTATTTCATTGCGGCCACATTTGGTGTTCACTTTTTTCCCACAATCATGCAGTGGTGTAGCGACCGTGGAGCTCTGGGGGCGGCACTTATTGGAAAAATAAAACTTTTGTTGCTTATATATAATTACAGGTATATATAATTTAAAACTAATATTATAAATTATAATAAACTATACATTTCTGTCTTCAGTTGTAATTTGTATATTGTTTGTAATTCGTCAGCATCGCCCAGTCCACAGACATGGGCTGCATGTGCGTCAACTATAAATGTGGTGTATCGTCTGCTGGGGTTTCACTCGTCCTATGAGTCAGGCCCATTTTTGACCCGGTCAGCACCCTAGGCACAACTAATTAAATAGTAGCGCCCATTTGAAATAAATATAACAGGGTGTCCACCGACCGGGAAATCCGGAAATTATGTGCGAGTTTTTTTAAACCAGGAATTATGAGTGAATTTTGTGTTTCTACCTGGAATTTTCAATTTACCACGATCGCGCATGACAACAGTGATGTTTCTGTGACGGCGTGAGATGATAATATGTATACACATCAGAATTTTGACCCGATCATAGAAGACAATGATAATGTCCACACAACCATGGGAAACAGTCAGAATTTTGCCGCGATTGAGGACGACAATGATGATCTACACACGACTGAGAGATACGGTTAACATTTTTCCACAATCGCGGGAGAAGATTACTGTCTACAGGACCTTAGGAGACGATATAAAGATGTATTCACGGCCGAGAGGGATTATCAGAATTTTACAGCGATTGTGCAAGACAATGATAATTTCCACTTAAGGCTGCTGGAACGTCTGACATGCCGTGTGAAAAGATCAGAATTTTGCCTCACTCGCAGTAGAAGACGAAAATCTTCTCACAGCGTGGATTTTGTTCATATATTGCCGCGATCATGGAAGACGATGATTATGTCTACACAAGCGCAGGAAATAGTCAGAATTTTGCCACGATCATGGGAGATGATTACGATGTCTATACAGACACGGGAGATGATAATAATGTCTACATGGCCACCAGGGATTAACTAAAAACTGAAAGAGTGATGACTATAGGGATCATTGCAAAAATAATAATAGTACATAAATATTGCATGCATTAACAAAGCAAACAAAGATCAATAATGTAGCCTATATTGTGTTTTTAGTGCTTATCAACAAAATATCTGCTAAGACCATTAAGAGGGAGATAATTTACTATATTATGTGCATAGGGATATTTGATGTTTGGGACAGGGGGCGGTTTAGCAATTTCTGCTCCTAACCTGGCTACACCACTGGGATCGTGGGAGACCAAGATGTCGAAGAGAATACATATGAATTAATACATATAAAATTTCTTTCTTTCAGAATCAGAATACAGTCCAACCTCAGTATAACGAATCTGAAGGGACCGAACTGAATATTCGTTATATCAAGGATTTTGTTAAAACGAGGTTCTTTATATAGAGGTTAGGTTTGCAGGAATTTCGCTAAGTCGAGGTTCAGAACCAGCGTCGGTCAATATAGGTAGGGATTTGACCTCATTAAAATACAATTAAAGTAGCATAGGCTACGCTACAATACTTTACAGTACAGTGTTTACATTGTACAGTAGAACCTAAATTATCCGGAATAATAAAGGGGAGGGATCTTGAATATTGCGCAATCATGACAATGGCATTGACCTTGGTATAGGTTAAAAACTTGTAAGTTTAAAATCACAGCTTGTTCTAACCCTCCTAAAACCTAGCCAAACACTGTATTGCGTAGTCATAAACCATGTAACGAACAAAACAAAACAGTAGAAAGTTTTTTAAGCTACTCTTCGCGATAGGCCGGTAGGCTACTTACAGCACAGAACTGATTTATCACAACAGAGGAATGTCAATAATAATCATTAACTATAGCATTGGTGTTGCTAGTTGAAACAAATCGTATTGAAAACATTAAATTATTAGATAAGTCATTATAAAAGTGTATAATCATAGCCAACTTAAGGATAATAAAAACACTCGTAAAAGGAATGTTAAGATAACGATGTTGCCATTCTTTCTCTTTGGTTTTGTTTTTATATTCTTTCTTAGTT